TGCATGTTTCAGGCTTATCAATTAATGTAATGTAATGTTATCAATTAACAATAGGGGTCACAAACATAAGACCAGCTGTTAAATAAAGCTCTTCTGACCTTAGCTGGCATGTATATATATTAATGCTGCCCATTATGGGCACAAGCAATTTTCACCCATTTATTAATTATATGTTTTAAATTTGAGTGTTTTCTATCCCCTAAACCTCCAGGGATGTACACAGTTCAATACTGGCAACTTCTTATTATGGGAAATACGAAAACGTCTTTTAAAACTACAACTCCCAGTAGAGACGTGCCATAGATAGAGAACATGTTGCGAAACACAATAGCCAGCATGTGTAGTTCTGGGGACGGGGTGGGGGAGGGGGGGATGCGGTGGACCCGTTCAAATCCAGTTTTGGACAGTCTGCCGTGGTCCCATCCCATTTCAAGTGCTGTTCGAGGCTTGGTGTAACCCTCGGAGCACACTCTCCAATCCCAGAGCTTGAGGACTATCACGGGGTTTGTCAAACAGAGCACATGGTGTAGTCCAAACGATAGCTGGGGATTCTGGGTAGTGTAGTGTCTTCTGCCATCCTTTACTCCGAAAAAATATTTGTTTCTCCGAATCGAAGGGGAAAAATACAAAAGCATTGCACACAATTTAAACCAATCAATGTTGTGTAATTAACAAGGATAATCTGGTGTTTTTTAGGCGATGAGTAGTGCAGATATCACTGTAAAATCAATCGACAGTAAGGGGAATACTTACTTCCGGGTGTACAATTCTCCGTTATCCAATGAGAATGGACGCTCACATTGCCTTTAAGGGCAGCCGACACAAACGAATGCCGTGCTTCCATGAGCGTCAAATCCCGCCGCAGATGGGAATACATTGCAATCAGTTGAAAGCTATTTGCGTCCCTTTATGAAGCTGAAGGAGCCTAGGAGCGTCACAACTGGACGCCACGGACACTGGACACGATTATGGAGTGAGAGTGTGTTGTCCCGAGTCCCTCCATTGGACTCCATTGTTAACTCACGCTTATATTGGCTAGAGCTCCAACACATTGTACGTGATCGACTAAGGGGCGGGACAACTTTTATGGGGTTGACCGATCAGGGGAGACTGGACTCTGGTTTCAGACGCAGGGTGAAAGACCAAAGGCAAAATACCTTTTTGACCAATAAAGCATGGAAACATGTCACAGTAGAGGCACAAAATACATACAAATATGAACCTGAAAATGAGCATAATATGTCCTCTTGTTGATTTTATATTTTAGGGTAATGTTTATGGTTTAGGGATATGACTGGTGATACACATTTTTCTTGCATATCCTAAAAAAGGCAGCATTTGTTTGTTGGCATTGTTTTTTTTAAAGGGTTTGATGAAAATAAAAAACATTTCCCATTCTTATCCTTTTAGAGATACATGTTGGCATAAAGTTGTGAAAGTTAATTCCTTTTTCGATCCAAAACCAAACTCATCTCCTTGCGTCCCTTAATTCCCATGAGTCAGAAAGATAAAACTGTCTCTGCCTTCTGTAAAATAATTCCCAACTTGTTCCTGCCACCATGGGACAAATAGAGAGACACAAACAAAACAACAATTTAAAGAGTCTTTCAAGAGTTGATCAAAACTTGGCAATTTACTGACTGCTCTTTACCAATACTAGTGTGTTTACGCCAGGTAATTTTGGCCATTGTTTGGACTTTCATCCAAAGATAATAACATAGGGAAACCCTTTCCAATAATCTAAAAATGCACACAAATGATGCTTTGTAAAAAGGAAAGAAGATGGTGTAAGTGATTTTCAAACAAATTGTTACATAATCAAATTCACCATTGTTGGATCATCCAATGCTATTACTTTACCTATTAGATACATGTGAAACTATTGGGTTACTTTTGCCAATTTCCAGTGAGGCTGATATTCCTGCTTCTCCTACCACTTCCCTCTCGTTTCCTCTATCAGACAAAAACTAATTTTATCTCCTTAGTTTGTCAGCCATGTCGTGATTTCCCATCGCCAGAATACTCTCTTTCTCTCTCAATTCGTGTTTGCTTTCTTGGCATGACATGGAAATACATTTGTGTTGCCAAAGCATATGAAGGAAAGTAGTGGATACATTACAAAATAAGCAATGGGGATACCACTTCCTGGCCGCATCTCAGGCGGAAGAGCTGGTTGGCTGTTAATCAAAGTGTGGATGGATCCCCGGCTCCTTCTGTCCATGTGTCTGCATGTATTTAGGCAAGAGACTGAAGACAAATGGCTCCCTCTGGGCAGGCCCTTCATATGGTGGCCGACAACTGCAAATGCGCCGAAGCGGCCCAAAACATTTCAAATAGGAGAAATGCGCTGCAGCTTCAGGAACAATTTAAATATAAAACACAAACATGTGCAAAAACACATGCAGAGGAAGAAACATCATGCGGTCACATTGACCAAGCTGATAACACGTACAGTTGGCTTGTAACAATCCCCAACCATCATCTAGCCTTCGGGTCCCAGCTGTGTGCATAATTGTTTTCGTGTATCTGTTTGTTTTGAGCTTCTTGCAGCCTTTTTTATTTGGAGCGTTTTTTTATTAGGAGTGTTTTTTATTTGCAGCGTTTAGTTTATGCAGCGCTGTGAGTAAATGCCGTGCATGTTTCGCCAAGTTGGTGATGTTTTCTAAATCTGTCTGTGTTGTGAAGTTTATTCATTTATTCATTCTTTTGGCACATGTATATTATTTTTATATTTGCATCGTTTTTAAAGCTGCAGTGCCTTTTTCCTAATGGAAGTGTTTTATGCCGTTGTAGTACATTTGCCGCTATACCCTCCATGTGAGTGAGCAAGTCTCCTTAACAAATGCATCTGTTATATGAATGTAACATTAGAGAAAAATGACGGTGTTTCTTATCAAACAATCTTTTTGTGTCTAAAAAGCGTGTCATTAACACCCCGGTATTCCTCCGGAGGGTGGCTGGCATCCCCCTTAATGATAAGGAGGGAAGTTCAGTCATCTAGGAGGGGCTCAGAGTAAAGCAGCTGCTCCTTTGAGTAGAAAGGAACCTGTTGAGGTGGTTTGGGCGCTTGGTAAGGGGGACACCTGGCCGCCTCCATAGGGAGGTGTTCCAGGCACGTCCAGCTGGTAGGAGACCGGGGTCAGACCCAGAACCAGGTGGAGGGATTATATCTTTATGCTGGCCTGTGAGCACCTTGGGAATCCCCCCAATCAGAGCTAATTAATGTGGCCAGAGAAAGGGAAGATTGGCACCCTCTACTGGAACTGCTTCCTCCGTGATTCTTGATAAGCAGTTAGATGAGTTGATGGATGGATAACTCACCCCGTGTTACCTTGAATATCTGGAAAAAACCTTGTTTCCCTTGCATGCCTCGACAATAAACAGAGAATCCTAAAACTGAGAAAAGTCTTAACGAAGTGAATGGGGAACAGTCTCATTTGTCCAGTTGCAGTCTTAGTATTTACCAAACACATGCAGCTACTTCTGCATAAAATGTCTCATGATGGTGTCAGGAGCGCTGACCATCTACTATTGACATAGTTCTGATTTAGATTCTAAACAAATCAGAACTATGTCAATAGTAAGGTTAGTGACAATGCATGTGTTTTGTAAGTAGTGAACTTCTGTAGAACTGGACAGATGAGGCTTGGTTGAGATACTTTCTAAATGGATGTTTTGAACATACAGTACTTTCAAAGTTGTTAAATTAAATCCAAATATAACTAGAATTCATCAAGACTTCTCACTGTTTTTCAAATCTTGTGGAGGCAAGCAAGAAAAGCAGAGTTTCTTAAAGACTTCAAGGTAACACGGGCTAAGTGATTTATATAAAAATAGTCATTGTGTGGGTGAAGTATTCCTATAAGATCTGTGTTGAGTTAAACAGTTATTTGTCATCTTGCTGTCTCTTCTTGTCGCAGCATGTACTAAAGCAGACTGCCAGTCGTGCAGTGTTTCTCTGTTCCCCCTGGGGAAAAAAGCTTTTCATTATCAGCAAGGGTCACACAGCCAGGATCTCTAATGGTTTTATATTTTGTGCAGAAGAGTGATGGCTCCTCTTTATATGTATATATATATATACATATATATATATATGTCTCGGACAAATCATTTATTTTCCTCTGCATCATTTCAGCCCTTGTGTAATTTTCCAAAGTGCTAGACTACTTCCAGAGACAGACACTAATGGCGCATTTCCACTACAGCGCGGTTTAAGCGTGCCGTGCCCGGCCGTTTTTGGTTGCGTTTCCACTAGGCGTAGTTCCGGCTAGCGGGTACTTTTTCCCAGTTTTCTGGCTCTCCAAAGTCGAGGTTCTTTCCGGGCCAACAACCGGGCTGAGTATACTAGTACACTAGTGAGAGACTCGCTGGCAACTACAACAAAATGAACATATTTTACCGTGATTTAACTGTAATACACGTTTCTAAATGATGCCGAAGTAACAACATACTGATACCGGTTAGTAAAAACCATGAATTAATGCTTTGACAAGTCTGCAGACAGACGGCAGGCGAAAAACATTTTAAAATGCGTGTTTTTTTAATGAAGATCTGCTAAGCTAACACAGTATATGCTCCGACCGTCCACACTCACAACAACGGCCTATACAGACATAAACCAGCGACTGTATTCGCCATGACACAGACAGTCTGTGGTTTGTACTTGTTTAACTTTTGTCCAGTAACAGATATGAGGAGCTGTGAGCTCTGAGTGCTAACAGCTAACGGCTGATGTTGGTTTTGTGTGTTTCGCATTGAAGATGACGTCACGGCTCCGCCTACACTGCGTTACTATAGTTACTACCCCAGTTCCTAAACTGTAATGGAAACGCAGCATAAAGTGAGCCAGGCCTACCAAGGCCTAACTATACCGTACTAAGCCGTGCGAGGCCCTGCAGTGGAAATGTATCATAAGACACATTCAAACACACATAGAGGCTGCAAATTGTCTGTTTTGTTGCTGTCTGAACAAAAATGCCTTTCTTTTCTCTTTCTGACAGAGAGATCGTTTTGTGAAGCTCCTGGATCAGCTGCACAACTCCCTGCGTATCGACCTCTCCATGTACAGAGTGAGTCCCCGCTATCAGCTGCTTTTATTCTGTCCTTCACCACTCACAGATCTTTAGACTCAGTCCATCACACTGACATTGGCCCCATTCATTCACACTAAAGGTTGGTATGTATGAATATGAATGAAAACAAGTCGGATAAACAGCCTCAAAATGTCTTGAACTAATATTTGACTACCTCCTGCTGTCATGTGGCTTCATTATTTCCTCCAATATGCTCTTGATGTCAAAAATACTTTCTTCTTAGCTGCTCAGATGTTGTTTATTTTTCTATCTCATGGGTTCACTGCACATCTTTCATATTTTTTTGTCAGAATTATGTAACACTTGCTTGTTGTCTTCTTTATGCTGGTAATGCGTTGAACATTAGAGAGACAAACAAGGGACATGATTGCAAAAAAAGATATCGGTTAAAGAGAAAAATATGCTAAAATGCTTTAGCAAAAAACTGATGAAAAACTAAACAAATATGTATGTGTGTGTGTTTCTTTCATAGAACAACTTCCCAGCCAGCAGCAAGCCTCGCCTGCATGACCTCAAGTCAACAGTGGATCTCCTCACCAGCATCACCTTCTTCAGGATGAAGGTAGAAACAAATGATCATTTCAATAATAATCAAAATCATGATACCTTGACTTCAGAATACATGTTATTTGTTGGATGCTGCTTTTGGTTTCTGTCCTTATTTACCTGAAATCAGGACTTTTACTTGTCATGGAGTATTGTAAAGTAGCCTACTAATACTATGGTTTATTCTGAGCCCATAGTATTAGTACTTTTACTTAAGTAAAGGATCTTCTTCCAAAACGGGTACAGTGTAGACCATGGGAAGTCTCCACTGAGCTGCCTCTACAAAATGTCCAACATTTTCAATTTTGCTCAACGGCAACACTTCCATAGGAATAGATAGAAACACAAAAGCAAACACACTTACACACACTCACACACAGACACACTTTTGCACACATATTCCTGCATGACAGAGAAAAGATTGTGAAACTGTGTGTGTGCTTGTTTTCTATTCCTTTTCTATGTTTATATCCTAGATTACCTGACCAAAGGGATTTGATCATATTTATATATTTAACTACTCCTAAATGTCTGTGTTCCTCCACTTTATTTCTGTCTTGTCCGTAGGTCTTGGAGCTGCCGAGTCCTCCGAGGGCCGCCAACGTTGTCCGGGACTGTGTGAAGGCCTGCCTGAACTCCACCTACGAGTACATTTTCAACAACTGTCAGGAGCTCTTCAACCGCCAGTTCCAGCCCGCCGTCCCACCTGTGAGTTTCTTAGCATCTTTTTGAAACTCTACAGTAGATACTTGAAATGAGCCTTCCCAAATCTGGTTGACCAACATTGATATCAGTAAAATATATACATATATACACATGGACATGTTTGCTAATAAGAAATGTCCACTGGTTCTTGACAAACTTCAACAAACAAACAACAGCACATTGTTTGGCCCTTCATTTGCATGTGTTTTGGAACATTTGTGTTTTCATCTTGATATGCCACACCTGTGAGGTGGATGGATTATCCATATAAGGAGAAGTGCTCACTAACAAAGATTTACACAATTTCTGAACAATGTTTGAGAGAAATAGAACTTTTGAGTACATAGAAAAAGTCTTAGACCTTTGATTTCAGTTCATGAAATATTTTTATATTTTTCTTCAGTGTAGAAACACACCATGGTCTTAACCCTTATTGATGCACTAATTAAATAAGTCTCCATTAGTAGAGTCTCTTTAACAGTGCCTGGGAAGATTGATGTGTCTAAAGTCATCAAACCAGCCTGTGCTTAGTATAAATTAACAATACTTTAAGCTTTATGGAGTGTGTAAAGTTTCGTCACACAAACATGGAGCTAGACCATTTGAAACAAATCAATATGGATATAGCATATTATTGTATTCATTCATTCGTTGTGAATTACTCACTGAAGATCATTTATTGGAATAAATTAAGCGTTACAACTTTTTTTTGTTCTGTGCCATTCATTTCAAAGCAACATTTATTCTCTGTGCATGTGCAGGATATTCATAAGTGTACCATTCTTAAACACACAAAATGTCGTCTTCTGCCTTTTTCCCTCTTGCAGCCTAAGCCTGAGAAGGAAAAGAAGATGAAGAAGAAAAAGAAGAAGGAAAAGGTGGAAGGTGAGGAGGGGGAAAACAATGAAGAGGGAGAGGATGAAGAGGAGGAGGAGGAAGAAGAAGAGGAGGAAGAGGAGGAGGAGGAGAAGAAAGAGGAGAACCAGCAGGAGGAGCAGGGTCCGAGCATTCAGAATCTGGAATTTTGGCCAAAACTCATCACGCTCATCGTCTCCATCATCGAGGAGGACAAGAACTCCTACACAACCATCATCAACCAGTGAGGACCAGTCGGAGTTTTATTTTATTTGTATTACCGTGTGTAGTTCTCCGAAAAGTGTGTCAACTTCCATCATTTTATAGAATGTGTGCTGCAGCACCTCTTTTCACCCTCTGTCTGAAACCAGAGCCCAGTCTGCTCTGATTGGTTAGCTGGCCGGCTCTGTTGTGATTGGTCAACCACTTAGAGATGTCCCGCCCCTTAGCCTTTCACGTTCAATTGGTTGGAGCGCTAGACAGTGGAAGCATAGTGATTTCACTAAGTCACTGAAGTAAACAAAGGAGTTCAATGGAGGCGTTTCAGGCAGGGTGTGTGTGTCTTCTGCTTGAATGCATGTGTGTGTACATATCCAACTTGCCTGCGGATGCTGTCACCAGCAGATTAGCCAATATTCTCACTGTTTGCCTGAACTCTGACCTCTGCCTCCCCTTCAGGTTTCCTCAGGAACTGGACGTGGGTAAAGTCAGCGCTGAGGTCATCTGGAGGCTGTTCTCTCAGGACATGAAATATGCCCTGGAGGGTAAGAGTATGCGTGTCCATATGCAGTGTGTGTATCTGTGTGTGTAAGAGAGAGAAGGAGTACCAGCTTGCCGCCTTTGCTCTCCCTCAACATTCACACTTCATTGTTTCTTCATTATCAACTCTCCTTCTTCTCTTTCCATCATCTCTTTCAGTTTTGTACAAAAATGACTACCACCGCCGGAATAATGGTGAGATTATAGTGAAGTATAACTCAGCTGATGACAAGATATAGTCACAACATTGTCTGAGAACCAAACATAATAATGGAATAAAACAAAAAAATTCAATTGATCAAACCTCTTTGGCAATGGGTGTCCATAGAATATAGACTTGGGTTGCGGTCGATTTTTCAATTGTGCTTACGAAGGTTCCTAACGGAGTGAAGTACCTCAGTGTCAGCCATGATAAGAGCTGTTCGAATCCTCTCGATCAGGGGTTTTCAAAGTGTGGGAAGGTGAGCCTCCCCTCAGAGAACATAAGAACAGCCGCGCCCCCCCTCCCAATTATCCCCACACTTTGCCTCCTTATTACACTCACCCCTACTTTAGTGGGAACAATGAGTCTGCGTCTTTGATGCGCACAGGCGGATGATGCGGGGATGCAATGTCGACAGGAATAAACGCAGATCATCCTCTGGCTGCAGCCTTGACCGCTACTTGCTTTGATCAAAGTAAGTATTATTACAATTAAAATAAAGGGCGGTGCCGGCCGTCAGCTAACCAAGCCGGCCGTTCTGTGATTCTCCAGAACACACAGATGGCTAGTCCGCCCCTGCCAGGACCGGACCATGAAAATCCTAGCTTCAAATAATCGTGGTCATACTTCTTCCGTTTTCTGCCAGACGCTGTCTCCTCTTTCACTTTAGGTAACTTCACTAAAAATTGATCCATGTTGCCGCTCGCATAAAGTTAGCTGAAGTTAACTTGCTAGAGCTTTGAAACCTCCTTTAGTTTAGGATACACTGGACATTCCTTTACGAAAGGAAAGGAGAAAATGCTGTCCCACAATACCTTGCGGCCGCAACACTTATCGTGACAAAACATTCAGCTGTGTTCACGGAAACAGTCGATCGTGACCGAGAAATGTGTTTCATGTAAGTTACGGTGTCATTAAGCATTTTACAACTTATACCGTAACTTGCCAAAGTGCTTTCTTTTGAACGTTTAACACTATAATAATCAAAAGGAGAAATATGAACGTTACTTTTTCACTGTCGAATGATCAAATAAAGTCAAGCTGTGTGGGGTTTCTTAAACTGTTTAAAACATGATTGAATGGTGATATACACAGTGATAGATGTGTAGGCCTGACAAGTTATGCTTGCCTTGCATTAGTTTTGGGATTCATGTGGATAATTATGTTCCACTTTACTTTTTTATTTCAATTCTGACCTTGGTAATGAAGAATAGATTTTTCACTGTCATCCAGGTTCATAAAGCCTGCATAAAACAACACCATAATAGCGCACGGTGTAAAGAACACAGCGGCAGACACACATTACTAATATCCGCTGGCGCATCAATATAACATCGGGGGAATTCTCCTATCATCTTTCCTTAACCCTATGGCGTTTTTTCCTTGAATAGTGATTAAGAAAAGAAACATTTTTTGAAAATTCGACCGCAACCTTGTATTTCATTAGAAATGTTCAGAATACTATAGAAAATATGTATCGTATACTGCATTGAATGTTGACAAAAAGTGTCATTTTCTTAGACTCCTGCCATATTTTGATCCTAAAGTAAATACAGTTTCTATCTCTGTGATGTATTGCCTCTCTAGCTTTTTACATTATACTGTAAGAGTGACTTTCAATTTAAATGCAGGAACAGCGTTAACAAGCTATCAGATAGTGTTATTTAAAATGTGCTCAGCCACTCAATATTCTGTCTTCTGACTGTGACTCGTAGTAACTGTAGAGACTATATTTACAACTGTAACGTTGTGCCTGGGGAAATGAGTATTGTAGCTCAGTCAGCACCCGTTCCAAAGTCATTTACCTAGATGTTCTCCGAGTTCAAATTCACACATTTCATCACTGACAAATCCCATTTCTAGGCTATTTTCCCCTGTCTAGTATACTTCCCTTGTATTGGGTTCTAACTTTTATTATTTTTTACCATCTCTTGCCTTTGCCTTTGCTTTATCATACCTGCTGTTCTCTCTGAACTCTCATTTTGTGTTACCATCTAAGCTCCCACCACATTTCGCATCCGCAAAGTTGATTTCAGCGCTGGTAAGAGTGTATATTTCTGTGTAAAAGTGATTCATGTGTATTAATAATTAGTTATCTAGCAGAGATTCTCAACTTGTAAGAAAAGAAGGAAGGAAAGAAAAACTCCCTTCCCTTTTAGCTTTGCACACCTATCAGCACATTTTATGTATAGCAAAGTGCTGAAAGTTGATTATTCTTTATTATTATATGGTTGGGAATCTCTGATCTATAGAGAATGTTTTTGTTCATGAGAAATGAAATGTTACCTTTGCTACTTTTCACACTCTTTTCAATTATTTGGAAACTGCAAGAATAGTTTAAAGGTCCCATGTCCTGGCCATTTCTACTGATCATAATTCCATTGTTGAGGTCTACTAGAATACATTTATATTGTGCAATGTTCCAAACTCACATTGGTTTCTCATACAGCATCTCTGTATAGTATATGTATTCACTCTCTGTCCTACACGGCTTGTTGGAGCTCCTGCCCCCCCCCCCCCTCCCTATGAGCCCGAAACCAGCCCGAACACACACCTGCAGCCTGGCTGGGAGTTTGTGTGGTGTGTGTAGTTGTGTGAACGGCTCTGTTAACGGCTCTGCGGACGTAACGTAACGGCTCCGCGGATTGGTCCATGGGGTCGTCGTTACGTCACTTGGTTCCCGAAAGAAAAAAAATGAAAAAGAGAAATGTCCAACGAGGCGTTCTGGGGCAGCATAGACAGGTCTTTTCTGTGTTAGAGTTTTACTCGCTACAGGGTGTACTTTGAGGGTTTGTGACTCTGCAGACCGTTTACATGCAGAAAAACCTTCATAACACAAGGGGACGGGTAATAACCGGAAAAGCATGACATGGGACCTTTAACATAACTACATTAGTGCACTGTGGCACTGACTCTAACACTTCTCATGTGTTGTTAGTCTGTAATGCAGGAGTTGTACCATAATTGGAACCCAAAGTAACATCACCATGGAGACTGGACACCTCGCTCTCCTTCCTTCATATTTGTTGTTCTGTTTGTGACGCAAACAATACTGATTGGAATTTGATCCAATCAAAATCCAATCAGTGAAATACAAACGGTACAGAATTTCACCGCTTTGTGGAAGCATTTTTCAAATTGCAACCGGTCCAATCAATTTGTCTAACTCTGTGACAAATTCTAGGGGGGGAACTATAATTGTCACAGTGTAAAATATGGTTATGAAACAACGGGTCATTTCATTCTGGCTTTATAGGGGTTCTGAACGTGTGTGTGTGTGTGTGTGTGTGTGTGTGTGTGTGTGTGTGTGTGTGTGTGTGTGTGTGTGTGTGTGTGTGTTATTTTACAGAACACGAGAAGCATAGACTATGTAAGACTGCTGACTACATGAACCTACACTTCAAGGTCAAGTGGCTTTACAACGAGTATGTTAAGGACCTGCCCGCCTTCACAGACACTGTGCCTGAGTACCCTGCGTAAGACACACACACACACTTTCTCTCTCATTATATTTGTCTTTTCCTGTGTCCTCCGGACAAAAGACTGCTCATCTCAATTCATCATTTCTGCCTTTCTATTGACATCTACTCAGTTAGTGCATTATAAAAGACCTTTGAGAACTGTATGTCTTAACTCAAAGCAATCCTCACTGAGAAATAGCGCTGATAGTCAAATATTAATAATGATAACAAAACTAATTGATGAATCATTGTTGAAACAGATGCAAGATGCTCTAAATGAGTGAGACATGCAAAGAATGGTAACCGTGAGAGAGTAAAATCATTCCTAATAAGGCATCTCTTGTATTTATTCTTATGAAAACGGAACAAACTAAGAAATTACACAAATTTGATAGACCTTCTTAAACATATGTTTTGAAAAAGGCATTTTTTTAATCTGCAAGCTTCAGACCTAAATATAGTGTTTATGTTTGTCAAAGCAACAATATTTCAGTAGACTGAACAGAGTTGCGACCTGTTGGTTTTTTGTGTATAACTGTATGGTCCTACTCAGAGCAGGTTAAAAATAACATCTCATTCCAGGTGGTTCCTCCAGTTTGTCCTGGCCTGGCTGGCTGAGAACGAGGAGGTGTCGATGGAGTTCATGCACGGGGCGCTGGAGAGAGACAAGAGAGAAGGGGTGAGTCACAGACAAGAATATGCAGTACATGGCCTTGTAGGTAGAACAACTATATGTGAGCAAAATGTAAACTATGTTCAAATATAGAGGACTTTGAGAGATCTTTAGGGGTAACAGTGAAATGAACTGTTGTTGTCCTGCAGCTGTGATCCTAAACACATTACATCTTTCAGCAACTTGTGTTTTCTTACAGACTAAACACCATAATCAGTAATCTACTAAACTAGGATTACAAAAAAGATGTTGAATAAAGAATATGTGTGTCTTTATAGTCAGATTTCACCAAAATATTTCAAAAACTGTCCTCAAGCTTTTTAAAATCCAGCATGTGACTGTTCCTTCGACCTTGCACAGTATCCTTTCTTTTATGAGGACATATTTTATATTTTGTTCCTCTACTGTGACATGTTTCCATGCTTTAGTGATCAAAAAGGTCTTTATCTTTCTCATCCTGCCAGTGCTGCAGAACCTCTTTTTCGGATAGAAGGCGATATTGTGAATCTCATTTTTTAATTTCAATTGGTTGAGATAATACATTTGATCCAAACAGTTATGACTTTTTTTTTTACAAGATTGCATAAATGTAAGAATTCATATTCTGTGATGTGCACAGCATCCATGAACTGTGAGATAGTTTACAACCAGGAGAAGATGTAAGAGGGGAATGAGAAGTAACAGATTATTAACATTTTGAGAAACAATGGTAAAATGATTTTTAGAAACAATCACCATAAGGCTGCTTTTGCTACTAATTAACACTGAAATGTCGCTCACGATTCCTGCGTGTAATTGAAAAACTGGCAACTGGTTTATTTTTTAAATAAAACCTACTTACAGTAATTGTACAGCCTAACCAAACCTAGCATTATGTAAGAGCTTCTTCTAGAACATTTGTAGCTTCCAGCAGCACATTGAAAACACATTGTTGTGGCTGATCGTATTGTATGGAATAAGTAGAGAAAGCGCAGCTTTGTACAACACTGATATTCAAAACAGAATGAAAAACAGACCTTTTGTTCAAGGATGCTTTGATATATATTCGAGTTCAGCTTTTGGCCAGTCCTACATTATCAGAATGATGGACGAGTGTTTTCTCGATCCTCCTGTTAGTCCCTATAGAGGCACTGTATCTGTCTGTTGTGGCTCTGGGGGGAGTTCAATTAATAGTATGATTTCCAAAAATTGTTATTGGTCATTAGAGAACAATGATCACACAAGCTTTCACATAAGCAGTTTAGTTATGTGTAAACTTAATTGAAAGCATATGTGTCTTCTAGTGGAGGATTGAAGCTTGTTTTTTTAGACAGTTCAGATCTGTCTAAAAGTTACCTGCCAGTGCTGTGTGCTTGCATAATGAGATGGCATTGTCAACGCAGAGGGCACGTTATTTACCGGAACCCTTTTTTATCGGCCCTCAAATTAATTAAAGTACAGCTTTTGTTAAGTACAAAACAGAATCTTCTTCCCACCAAGGCTTATTGAAGTTACATTAAAGGGACTTACGTAAATCATAAATAAATATACGTAAATGCATAATACATGAAACTAAGATAATAACTGCAATGGTCAGAGTGCCCTGAAATGATAATAATGACACACATTCACATTAATGGTAGCTAGGAATAGAAATAGGAATGGCTTGAGTTATTAGGAGACTAAGTGGACGCATGAGTCAGGGAGGAAATTGTTGTAAGGAATCTTGAAGAAAGCAGAGCGGATGTGAAGAGTTGCTGTCTTGATTTCATGAAACCGTGGTAATGGGCTAAAATTCTGCATTTTGTGTCCTTCTCCCTCAACCTGCAGTTCCAGCAGACGTCCGAGCATGCTCTGTTCTCCTGCTCCGTGGTGGACATCTTCACTCAGCTCAACCAGAGCTTTGAGATCATCAAGAAGCTGGACTGCCCTGACCCCGCTGTGGTGGCTCATTACAACCGGCGCTTCGCCAAGGTGAGATCTATATATAGATATATATAGACGAGAGAGTAAATATTCTTACATAACTATTCATATTTCATCTTGTAGTTGTGATGGAAATTCCACACTTAATCAGCTTCTGGTAAGAAAATAACAAATACAAGCTTAAACCAAAGTTGTGTTACTTAATAAAGAGTTATAGCATTTAACAGAATCTATATATTTCCAGCTGGAAGGGCAGGTAACCCTGCACCAATGTGTGCCAAAGAAATCTGAACCAAGTTACACAGAAAAGCAATGACTTTATACAGGGAAGAGACACAGGAAGGGGAAGGTCTCAGCCAGTCATCTTACATAGTGATTACATTACAGAGTATTGAAGATCGGTGGCTAGATGGGTTAAGCTCTGACATGTTAAGGCCCTGACACACCTACCCGATTTTGGGAGTCAGAGGCTGTCAGAGGTAGTCGGGCATTCGCGGCGCCCTACTCAGGTTATTGTGTCCCGCACCGTCGTTGCTTTACGGCACATTTTCACACCTCCCGCGGCCGATTCAACATGTTGAATTCAACATGTTGAATCAGCCAAATAAATCACTCTGATTGGCTGTTGCCTCTTTTGAATGACGAATACACACTACCGCTGCCTGCTGGTAAGGACAGTTATTGCCACTCGTCGACTGAAGTCTTTGCGGTGTGTTCGTAGGCGGGCGGCGTAGCCGACGCAGGCCACGTAGCGGACGTAAAAGTCGGGATGCCTTCGGTACGCGTTCTTTGGTCTCAGGTTGGTGTGTAGCGGCCTTGTTAGGGTTGAGCAGCGCAGGGAGGACCCAAGTGCAGACAGACGATTGTTTAACAGCCACAAACCTTTATTCAAGGCAACAGGATCAACAAAAGGAACTCTATCTCCCTCTAAGCACAAAAAGGAACCCACAAAACCCCAACAGAACTTAGAACTTAAATACACACATAGCCAATCAAGACACAGCTGGGGAGGGGAGGGAAAACACAAAGACACAGGTGAACAGAATCAGGTAATCACATCTTCATATATTAAATGTGAAAATATGTCTGCGAAATGTTGACGCACATATGTAACGTATAGATAGGGAGATATCGCAGCTGAAATGCCAAATATTTTCTTAAATTCTTAAATTTGCTGATTTTCCTTTACATGATATTATATTAAAGAATACTCATTCTTTACATATATAGGCCGTTTTCAAAGAAACTTGCAATGTCTGTGGTCCAATTGTATTTTGACGTCGCCCCCAAACATAATATAATTCTCGAACAAACTGCAGAATAAGTTCATAAGTTTGGCCTTTTTTTATGAAATCAACTTTTTTATGAAATCAACTTCTTGAAAAATCTGCTCTCCATTCCATTGAAAAGGTTCCTTATGCTCTTGCCTATGCTGGTGTTCCGCTCACATGCTCTGCAGGCGACAGGACTTCCTTTGGTGAAAAAGGGACAAATATAAACCAGTTAGGTAGTTTAACAACGGATATCTTAGAGTACATAAATATCATGTAAATGAAATGTAGTAAACTTTGAGCTTCTCTCTACTAAGATGATTAGTTTTCAATAAGTACGTTTGAACACTTTCTTTTCTAATGTATGGATGTGGGGAAACTAAAGTACAAATATTATTTTTTTAATAGGATTTATAAAGTGTTTTCCATCACTGAGGCATTGCTGAATCAAAATTCCTCACTGGTGCAGCTTTTAGTAATCTTAAGAGCTTTCCCGACACAACTCTTCTTTATTGGACTTATTGAATATTATGTGCCTTTGAGATATTGGCTGATTTCAGGTTTATGTTTTTCTGTTTTTGCAAATGTATACAGTGCAGTGTGTTTGTAGTTGAACCTTTGATGTCATATTTCTTTCTTCTTATTTAATTGAAGGCAGCTGCTTTTAGGCACAGCCATTACATCTAACAAACCTTTCCCTGCAGAAGAGTTGTGTGCATGTATATGTGTGTGTGTGTGTGTGTGTGTGTGTGTGTGTGTGTGTGTGTGTGTGTGTGTGTGTGTGTGTGTGTGTGTGTGTGTGTGTGTGTGTGTGTGTGTGTGTGTGTGTGTGTGTGTGTGTGTGTGTGGTGTGTGTGTGTGTGTGTGTGTGTGTGTGTGTGTGTGTGTGTGTGTGTGTGTGTGTGTGTGTGTGTGTGTGTGTGTGTGTGTGTGTGTGTGTGATGGCTCGATCAATATAGGACTCATTAAATAAAGAATGGCTAATGTAAGCCATCACTCTGAGCTGTCCATCTCTCTGTCCCCAACGTTTGACTGCTTTTTCGATTCCACTCCTGTTAATGTCTCCGTACCTTTTCATCTCCTCCATGTCTCAGTCTTTAGTTTGTCATTTGCATCATTTTCGAAACTGCAGCGCGTTTCTCCTAATGTAAATGTGTTGGGCCTTTGTAACACCTTTGGACCTGTAGGCCACCTTAAAATAAAAATAAATCCCCCTGCCAGCATAGTTCATTTTAGAAAAGTATGAGATGACACTCAAAGACAGACAGTGGCAGTTAATAAATAAAGGGGGGGACAAGCTGTACAACGAGAGGAAATAAAGCAGACAGCCATCAGGCCACATGTTTAATGCATGAATGTATGTGCGCCAACTGGCTGACTCAGCGGAAAGTAGGGAAATCTCTCACAGCGATCTGGAGAACACTTTTTTGTAATTTCCTGTCCCCAAGTAACCATCACAACCAATAAATAACCCCGCTGGTTTATTTAGTACCCTGTGGTTTGTAAACAATCACGAAATTAATTGTTTCTCACCAAAATACTTTGTGTGTATCCTGAAGAACTAAATAATGGATTTCATAACCACATTGAACTTTTGCATACACTTTTTCATGATGTGTCTTCGGCTTGGTTTGACTTTTTGTCTGTCGGGATTTAGTAAAAACTACCGGTCCAATTTTAATGGAACTTTGTGAAAAGGTTAAGTATGGGTGTTGGAACGCTCTGAGAAATTCAATACAAAACATACTCTTTGAAGCATCATCGTTGTTTCCAAAAAAGGAATTAAAGCTCATGAATACACCAAAATCCTTAGAACGACTTCCACAGGGTTCCTTCCAAATCAAGGCGAGGCAAGGCAAGTTTATTTATATAGCACCTTTCAACACAAGGCAATTCAAAGTGCTTTACAAAAAATGAAAGACATTAAGAAAAAGGCATTTAAAATCAGACATTAAAAAGAAAAGCTAATAAAATAAACATTAAAAGAAAAAAGTACATGGATAAAAGTTACAGTGCAGTCTAAGATATGAATAGTTCAATTAAAAGCAGCGACAAAAAGAAAAGTCTTCAGCCTGGATTTAAAAGTAGTCAGAGTTGCAGCGGACCTGCAGGTTTCTGGGAGTTTGTTACAGATATTTGGAGCATAATAACTGAATGCTGCTTTACCATGTTTAGTTCTGACTCTGGGGACAGAAAGCTGACCAGTCCCAGAAGACCTGCGAGATCTGGATGGTTCATAATTTAGCAGGAGGTCAGTAATGTATTTTGGGCCTAAACCATTCAGTGCTTTATAAACCAGCAGCAGTATTTTGAAATCTATTCTTTGACACACAGGAAGCCAGTGTAAAGACTTCAGAACAGGAGTGATGTGATCCACTTTCTTAGTGTAGTGAGGACTCGAGCAGCGGCGTTCTGAATCAGCTGCAGCTTCCTAATAGATTTCTTAGGGAGACCTGTGAAGACACCATTGCAGTAGTCGAGTCTACTGAAGATAAAAGCATGGACAAGTTTTTCCAAATCCTGCTGTGACATTAGTCTTTTAATCCTAGATATATTCTTTAGGTGATAGTAGGCTGATTTAGTAACTGTTTTAATGTGACTGTTGAAACTCAGGTCAGAGTCCATGACTACACCTAGATTTCTGGCTCTATCTGTTGTTTTGAACATTGCAGACTGAAGCTCAGCGCTAACTTTTATACGTTCTGCCTTGGCTCCAAAAACCATTACCTCAGTTTTATCTTTGTTTAATTGGAGAAAGTTCTGACACATCCAGTCATTGATTTGTTCAATGCACTTACTCAGTGTTTGAATTGGAGCATAGTCTCCTGGTGAAATTGTTACGTAAATGTGTGTGTCATCTGCATTTACAGTATGGTAACTTATTTTGTTGTTCTTCATTATCTGAGCCAGTGGTAGCATGTAGACGTTAAAGAGAAGAGGCCCCAAGATGGAGCCTTGAGGTACCCCACATGTCATATTTGTCAACTCAGATGTGTATTTACCTATAGAAACAAAGTTGTTTCTGTCCTTTAAGTAGGATTCAAACCAATTTAGAATTGTTTCCGAAAGTCCCACCCAGTTTTCCAGTCGGTCTAGTAATATGCTGTGGTCAACAGTGTCAAACGCAGCACTGAGATCTAATAATACTAACACTGAAGTTCTGCCACTGTCTGTGTTTAAGTGGATGTCATTGAAGACCTTTACAAGAGCAGTCTCAGTGCTGTGGTTTGGACGAAATCCTGACTGGAACACATCCAAACAGTTATTTAAATGCAAGAAATTACTCAACTGTTGAAAAACAACTTTTTCAATGATTTTACCTAGAAATGGGAGGTTTGATATGGGCCTGTAATTGTTCATTACTGAAGCATCTAGATTATTCTTTTTTAAGAGCGGTTTAATGACTGCAGTTTTCAGGGCCTGTGGAAAAATACCTGAGTGAAGAGATTTGTTTACTATATGAAGTAGATCTGAGGCCATGCAAGGCAAAACATCTTTGAAAAATCCTGTTGGAATAATATCAAGGCAGCAGGAGGAGGACTTCAGAAGTTGTATAATGTCCTCTAGGTTTTTATCATTAATCTGATGGAATTGTGTCATGGTGTTTGAATTGATGTTAAGTGGACACAGAGACAACACATTTGCTGTTCCTGATGCAGAGGCACTGACTGCTTGTCTGATTTTCTGAATTTTGTCAGTGAAGAAGGAGGAAAAGTCATTGCACGCCCTGGTGGATAGAAATTCAGAGGCTACTGACACTGGGGGGTTAGTTAGTCTGTCGACGGTAGTAAACAAGGCACGTGCGTTGTTTTTGTTTTTGGTAATGATGTCAGAGAAGAACGATTGTCGTGCGTTTTTCAATTCCAAATTATAAAGGCCAAGTCTCTCTTTATAGATTTCAAAGTGAACCTGGAGATTTGTTTTTCGCCACCTGCGTTCAGCTTTTCGACATTCTCTTTTTTCTGTTTTCACGCTCATGGCCTTTCTCTATGGAGATATTTTCTTGCCAGACACTTCCTTTACCTTAGTTGGAGCAATGGCATCTATAACATTTTTAATTTTTTAATTAAAATGATCTACTAGCTCATTTACTGAGATGTTAGCAGGGGCAAGTGTGGAAGAAAAATTCTGAGTAAACATTTCCCTAGTATTTTCAGTTAAATATCGCTTTGTGGTTACCTCTTTTTGAAAAAAATTGTGAACAGAAATAGAGCTCTCAAAGAAAACACAGGAATGGTCGGAGAGTGCAACATCAGTCACCACAACCTTAGAGATATTCAGACCCTTTGAGATAATTAAGTCCAGAGTGTGCCCCTTATTGTGCGTGGGCTCCGTCACATGCTGAGTCATAGCTATCAAGAACACAAAACAGTTATTTTGCCCCTCTGTCCTGGGGTTGTCAACATGGATGTTAAAATCACCAACAATGACTAGACGGTCAAAGTCAATACACACTATAGACAGTAGGGCTGAACGATTAATCGATTTTAAATCGAAATCGCGATTTGAAATGATGCGATTATCAAATCGCAAAGCCTGCGATTTTTTTTTACTTTATTTTTTTTTTCTTACAATTTTTTATTTATTTTTTTAACTATTTTTAAAAAAAAATGTATTGTGTGTCAGTCATCCACACCAATCAGAAGTGCTGTGCTCCACATGTACCAGCCATTGTTAATCAATCAGAAGTAGCCCATGATAGAAGGTGATAGACAGATTGATCCAATCACCTGCCAAGTGCTTTTGAAAGTGCCTGCCCTTTCCAAATGGCTTCCAATGGAGCTTTAGATGCTTTGGTGAAACCAACCATCTGAGTCAGGTTAGTAATGCTCCATTACACGTTTCTATTACAGGGTGAATCTTAAACTGAAGCTTGACTTTAAAGCAACCCAACGGAAGTTTCATGTATGTTTAGTTCTTTCACTCGTAGCTCGGGCTGCGAGGGTGCTAGAGACGGGAGCACGTTGATACGACCTTCCTAGCCGGAGTTATGGCTGCATTTTACAATAAACTTCCGTTGGGTCGCTTAAAAACAAATATCGCAATTCGAATCGCAATCGCAATATTTGTCAGAAAAATCGCAATTAGATTTTTTCCCATTTTTTCGTGCAGCCCTAATAGACAGCAGTTCGGTAAAATCATCAAAAAAGCTTGCACAGTATTTGGGTGGTCTATAGATATTTAGGAACAGAGCTCGAGAGGAGCATTTCAGCTGAAGGGCCACATATTCAAAAGAAGCAAAGTTCCCATAAGATGTCTTCCTGCATTGAAGGGAATCATTGAACAGAATCGCAACTCCACCTCCTTTCTTATGCATTCTTTCCTGACTCATAAAACTAATGTTGGGAGGTGTTGATTCGATAAGAACAGCTGCACTGTTATTTTGTTCAATCCAAGTTTCTGTTAAAAACATAAAATCGAGATTGTGCTCAGTGATAAAATCATTGATTAAAAATGTTTTTCCTGCCAAAGACCTGACATTTAATAAAGCTAGTTTATGTTTGTTAAACACACTATCAGTCAGGTTTTTTGTAACAAGCTGTGGCTGACATGGAATCACTGCTAAATTACTGTAGATAAACTCACACAAACGTTTGAGCGCTTCCTGTATCTAAGATGATTCACTGCTCTTAATCTATTACCTATCAACACAGATATCGGCAAAGCTACAGGCAGGCAGGGCCCCGGCATGTCCTGGAAAGAGTTGAGAGTGCCATACGCCCTTGAGCCTGGACCCAGCAGATATCAGTTTGCAGCGTTTTGTACACACACATCCCTATCAGTCTTTGAAGGGGAGGGAGGACCCACCACCCTGCTCCTCTCATCATAGGAGGGCAGGGTGAGGGCTACACTCTTTTTGTAGAAAGGGGGGTTTGGAAATCTGCTTCCATCTTCATTGTATTGTTTTGGTTTGGATGATTGTGGTAGGCATGGTGATGAAGCCGGGGGAGATGGTACGCATCTCTGCTTCGTTTTTTTTGGTGGGCGTCGTTGAGGGGCGGGGGTAAAGGACAAGCTGCCAACCCTGCGTGTCGCCTTCATGCGGTCATCGAACTCCAGGGGGGTGGGCGAGGGTGAAAGGGTGAGCGGAGAGTAGAGAGAGCTGGGGGATGAACGAAGAGTATCCTCAAAGGCGTTGACAGGGAGGGTGACGGGCAGTGGAGTCTCCTCCATTTGTCTCATAGGTCTCCCATAATCAGAACATTCCTCAGGCGGGTGCAGTGATACTTCTTCAGGGTTTTCTGCAAGAGAAACAGCTTTGTGGTGTCTTACCCCTCTGATTGATAAGCTTGTCCACCCTTGTGGGAAAGCAATGTCAATGTTATGTGTGAAAAGACAAAGTTAATAACTGTTTAGGATAGACTATAGCACCCAAGTGTGTGATACCTCTATAATTTGCCAAACATTTTTCACAGTTAAACTATTGTGCTAGAAATGCTGTTCTGTCGGATTTTTCCCATACCTCACATTGAAGAGTTAATTAAAAATGAATGTGTTTAGGGAAATGGAAAAGTCGTTTTTTCTTCTTTTGGCAACACCATAAATGCTTTGTTGAACAGAATTTTCTTGATGCTTGTGAGAGCCAACATGGCTGAACAAAATGAGAAGACAATGGGTGCGTCTCACTTCGGTTATTTTTCATTTCCTCGCTCCTCGGGCTCGGTATCACCGGAAGTTGATTTGTCTGCGCCATCTTGAGTAGCGTCCCAGTCCTTATTTTTGCCGGAGGAGTGATAATGGAGGAGCTATAACCGAGGAACTACCAAACCATCCTCAGGTGAAATCCTCAGACACTCGCCCCGCCCCCTTACTGTGTATCGCTCACTGATTGGACGATGCAGCGCATGCACTGATCTGGCTGCTGTCAGACGATCAGCTGTGCAGCGTCATCACAAACGGACGTCGCTTCACGTGACGCTCCGGAGGAAACGACGTCCCATTGCTCTTAAAACTCATTTCCCTGCTTCTCGTGGTTTCCTTGCGTCTCTCCATGCTTCCCTGGTGGGAGGGACTAGTCACAGGGAAACGACGTGAGGGACGCAAAGGAATCCATTTAACCGAAGTGAGATGCAGCCACTGTCCGGAGAAACTGCTCATCAGGAGAGATCCATGATAGAGACAAATCTCCCTTGAGTGCCGCCTACAGACTCTGATTGGCAGGAAGGTCTTTGTAAAAACAAAAACGTTCACATAAAACTGAGGATATGTTGCCAAATAAACAGGGAAAGCTGTCTGTCATCAGGCAGGATGACAGTGGGACTCACACTGTCACTCAAAACAACTCCAGTTTCTTTACTCGTAATTTGGCTAGACATACTGGACTTACTTTGACTCATTTGTTTGATTTGTTCGGTGGAATTGTCATTGATTTATAAAATACATCTGCAAAGTAAGTCAACCAACAAGAAAAGTGAAAATGTACAATATTTGAATTGTGTAAAATGAAGTGAAGTTGAAGTACAAAGTAGCATTATATGAAAATACTCAGAACTTAGGGTTAGGGTTAGACTGTTCATCCCAAAGAGAAAAAAACATATCTTTCCTTCTTACCTGTGTTGCTTTTCATCTACATTGCTTTAATGTGAGTTGCTGAGTGTTGGAGGTATCAGCTGTAGAGAAGCCTTTCCTTGAAATATAACGGAACTTGATGCCACTTGTTGGGCCTCAAATTGACCCAAGAACTAAGTTTAAATAAATAGATTAATGTCTCTTTACTTATATCATGACTCTCTTACTGAACCTGATCTACAGACGTTGTTATAAGCATTTTCATGTAGGAACAGTTTTATTTTACCAACCAAATCACCACGCATAATGAAGACTGCAACTTCTTCCTTCCTTCGTATCTGACCAAACAAATGAAACTAGACGTAAATACCGGTGTTCAGATTCAACAATCCAGACGTTCCCAGAGTAAACATGTTCTTCCTGTGTTATCTTGTTCCACAGACGATCACCAAAGTGCTGCTGCAGTACTGTGTCGTGCTGGCCAAGAGCTTTCCCTCCTACTGTGAGAAGGAAAAGATAGTGAGTACTGCTGCATGGTCTGATACCAAACCTCCTCATTCAGAGCTCATCTTGATAGAGAGAGAGACTTATGCACTCTCTATGAGTGTATTCATACTTTATATGCTGCTGCCCACTTCTGTAACTCTTGAACGCCTTTGTTTCCTCTTTGTTGGCTTATTTCTTCTTCCTGTCTGTTCATGACTTTCATGTTTGTTGTTTTACTTTCTTTGACTACTTGACTTTCTGTCTCCATCTTTTTGTTACACCTGTTATCTCCCTCATCTATCTTACTCCAGCCCTGTGTGCTGATGAACAACATCCAGCAGATGAGGGTCCTGTTGGAGAAGATGTTCGAGTCGATGGGAGCAAAACAGGTGAGCAATAACAGATAAACACACACACACACACACACACACCTAACACTGGTCCTCCATCAGTGGTTCTTCATTATCTGGCATGGAGTCCTGAGAGTTTTTCAAGTCAACATGCGGCCACTGGATAGCGTTTGTTTGTATAATTTGAGGTCAAACGTCAAAACTCGATGCTGCTTGTTGGGGGGACATTTTCCACCAGGTGTTACTTATCAATGAGGGGTTCTAACCAGGCTTTCTTGGTCAATTTGTGGGAAAGGTGTGATGTTAACGACATACCCCGGATATGGCCCACAGCAGGATATAACTTTTTTTTTACTTGTTCCTTTTGAACTTCAACTCCTTTTCAAGCATGGAAGGCAACACATAAAATGGCAAACTTGTCACGCGTGGCATAGATTGAACCCCATTTTCCTTAAAATGGTGGAAACATAGAGACATAATTGAACCTGATAACAAAAATTGAACCTGATAACAAAAAAACATATATTTCAAAAGGGAAACACGCATTGAACCATGCGCTACAATGATGTCATACTAGCCAGTACTTTTGAAATGCATTTCTTCGTCCATCAAATCTCAGAGAACTTAAAGCAACATGTCTAATGAAGCAAAATGCACTAAGGTAGTGGTAGTTGTATTCAACCAGGAGTATAGTCTCATTGAGATTAAACCATTTTACAAGAGAGTCATGGCCAAGATATAGCAGCACAGTTACAGAAACAAATTAAAACTAGAACACTGAACATATCATAGTCTCCATCAGAAACCACATCAAACAAAGCATCTTGAGAGAGAGCTGCCTGCTTGTCGGTCATTAAGAAGCACTTTAAATCTGCAAATGGAGCCGCTTAACCAAACGCTCTTTTCAACAGCTCAGTGTCGACTTTTGGGACAGTTAGTAAAAACAAGTCCTCATTGCAAGCCAATGACTTTCTGTATTTTTCCTAAGTATATAAATCTGTATTTTACATGATAGAACACCAATGATAGCCTTATAAGTGAGGATATGCTAATGGTTTAGTCTACAGGTGGTCAGTGCAGACCATCCAACCCGAGCATACAAGGAGCAATGGTGCGTAAACTAAGGTGTTTTGATAAATCTTAGTGCCCAATGTTAGACAGTATCCAGAGAGCGTAGGCATTTAGAAGATGCATTCATATTTAAATCATCAAAGTCTAGCACAAACATGAAGGTTGCAGCGACAAGTTTCTTTTTGGACTCGAAAAAAGACTTATATTCAACAACATATTCAATAACTGTTTCTGGTTTTTCAATATCTGGTCTGATGTTTGATTTAAGTTTGAGCTTACAGAAGTTCACACAAGGCTTTTCTTGCTATGGTGATGAAAGAGCAAGAATCCTGTTGGAATTGGTACATCTCAGATTGTGTTTTGTAAGTAAGGTGAGAATGAGCGTGTGTCTTTCTCTCTACAGTTAACTGCTGAGGAGGACAGGGTATGTCAGGTTTTTTGTTTACCCTCGTTCCCCTCTCTCCTGTTGTTCCTGGAACAAAAACATCAACAACCAAACACTCCCTGAATCAAATACCCGCCCTGAACCCCTTGTTACCCAGTACAGTATCTATTTTAGTTGAATCCTGATATCTCCTCCTCCTTCCTATACTCCTGGTATTTACTCCCACAAATAATATGTTCCATCTAATACGATGTATGTACAAAATAAATCAATACGCCGCTGCTTCTTTCCAAAAGCTTGAGAATGAGGAGGAACCCGAGGAGTTAGATGAGGAGGTGGGTCAACCTGTCGACTCTCAAACTAATCGTTCAATTTAGAAAAAATTACTTTTTATTGCTTAAACTGTTTCACTTGTCTCACACACGGGTGTACCCAATAACATAAATCAATCATTGTACATGCTAGCTCACTGACATCGTTAATGTTATTGTCTACGCCTGTGCTCATCTTTCTACATCAAGTCAAAACTAATTATGTTAGAAAAGTTTAGGTTAGAGTCTCAGAAATATAAAAAAATCCTTATTTATTTTTCTTTACTTATTATTTTTTAATAGCAAATGCACAACATAGCTAAACGTATGTGGACACCCAAACATGAATCGTCAAATATCTGTATGCTGTCACATTAAAAAGGGGTTTTCCCTTTCTTGTATTGTTTTATATTGGTTGTGGTTTATGTAAATGGTCTGCAAAGGCTAGCATCCATAAGCTCCTCCAGAGGGAGGTTATCTCCCACAAACACACACACATAAAATAATGGAGTAACTTACTGGCTAATTTCATATATAACATTTTGAAATATGGTAGATCACTTTGTTCATTATAAGGATGTTTGTAACAAATGATACAATGACTTTGATTGGTGGTTAATTTAGGAAGTTATAATATCCTTACGAGTGTGTCATGTACTTTCAATGGCTTCTAGCTCAACCTGAAACAGCACCTCAGACTGTATCTTATGTTTTAGTTTTATCTTTATGTATTCATATTTTCTTCGTCATACTTTTTTTTCATAATTTGTTTGTTTTTATTTCCATACCATCTCCACCAGGCTATCACTGACAATGAAGGGGAGGATGACATGGTGGGTAGGCGGGCTGCATTAGCAAAAGCTGCCTGTAACAACAACAAACCTTTTATATCATTTCGTAAATGTCTTTTATTCTTTTTGTCTCAACTCACCTTTGTGTCTGATTGTGTTTCCCTTGTATCTTCAGTCTGCCTGCTCAGACTCAGAAGGATCTGAGGTAAGAGGGAATATCTGAAGCAAAACTGATATTTAAAGCCTCAAATAATACAGTTCTGTAGCTTGTCCTGAGCTCTTCAAATATAAAAATTAAGTAAAATCTTAATTTCAATATAAGGAATTAGAATGGGGAGATTCCACATAGTTTATATAAATCATCTCGTAAAATGTTCATTAACAAAGGTTATCATTGCTTTTTAATATATAGAGTAAAGTAGACAACTAATAATCTTTTGTTGAGACAACTACACGTTTTGAGTTCTTCATACTAAGAATTCCATTATTATTTTTTGCTCAGAAATTGTTTCTTTCATATTTATTAAAAACGTATAATTTTGAATTCCACCTAATAAGAATTCAACGGGACAAATTGTGCCAAATAATATTGTCATACAAAAAACAAACCTAGTCCATCAAAATGACAATATTTAAACAAAGTGCTAACTTCAGGAAGATAAAGTCCAGTTTAAAGAAGGAGAGATTGCCGCAAATGTGGGAAATCGGAGTGTAGATGAAGAACCCTGCAGATTTCCGTTGGAGACCCCATTCTTTTGCGAATCAAGCTTACATAACTTAGTTGACCCAAAACCTATAATTTGTTTATAAGTTATGTTTTGCCAACTTAACTTTACACAAGAAACTTAATACAAATTGTTGACATAACTACTCTGATGTTGTTAGCAACATAATTCAATATTTTTAGTTTACATGACTAAAAAAATCATATTCAGGCCGACAATTTCCTTTGTTAACGGACACATTACCTGTTCTCCTTTTCTCATTCGATGAACTTTCCAAGTGTGCATATTAGTGATGTGTTGCCGCCATATATCTGACAGTCGTTTTTTAGACCAATAATATGCAATAACGAAACAGCTTTAAAGCTCCTAAAATATATATTTTTCAATAACATTAAATATCAATGACTAAATAGTCTAAAACCAAAGTTTAAAAGCGATTAACATTGAAAACTCAGCTTATCTACTCCTTTGTAACTGTATGACATTTGTGGTTGAATTATATGATTGATTCAACCTTAGATTCAAGCTTTGGTTAGCTTAGGTTAGGATCTTACTGCAGGTTTGTACTTAGGGATTAGTTACTATAACAACCTAACCTGGAGAAAAATACGTTTAAATACATGTTTTCATTATGTTTAGCCTATTATTACCCAGCAGCTTCTCTCTGTGCACAGCTGATACATCCCTCCACACCCCTGATGCCCAAATGTCCTAAATAAAGCCTCAGGCAGCACAGGCTCCTAACACATTTACTGCTGTTCCTCTAATGAGTGCTTAATAGACCAGACAGTGGCCTGCAGATAATTACATTTGATAGTGTATAAAAGTGTTGTATTTAGCAGCCACTAAATGGCCTCTTGGTTGTTCAGCTGACTGTGGGGGGTCAGAGAATAAGAGGGAGTCTGACTTGGGGCAGAGGGTGAAAAGTGTTAAAGTGTAAAGTTACTTATCTTAACAGACGTTAACATTGGGATGTTTGTGAAGATACACATAGTGTTATGGGCCGCATAAATGTGCTGCTTCTTTGTTATGGTTTCCTTTGCATGAGAGGATACTTGTTCTCTGACATACATATACATATGATTTGTGTATAAAAAGGCCTAAATGCAGTGCTTTGATTGCCCTTTTTATTTTGATTTATTATGTGAAATTATATCCGTTTTCATCAATGTTTTATGGCAAACTTCATTGGACCAGAGACCATTTTAAACCCTGTCATGCTCCTTGATGGACTCTGTCCTCATACAGTTGAAAAATGTATGTGTTGGACCTTGGAGCTTTTTTAATGTAATATTTCCCTCATAAAGGAGCTGTTTATAGAAAGGGAAGCTCAAGCTTGCACCCCATGATTCAGGTTTTTTAATTCCATCTCCGTAGTGTTTTGTATTCCTTTTAGAGTACAAATGAGTCATAAGGGTGAATCTTTATATCATGGCTTGACAAACCCTTCAAGGGGGGGTGTTGTTATTGTGCTAATAAGACAATGGAGTACTACGTGTGCTCTATTACTAGCACTTAGTCTTTTGACTTTGATAAGACCAAATCTAGACAGTGAAGACATTTTTAGAAAGTAAGAACATGTTGTCTTTACAATGGGCAGTTCTGTGTGTTACTTAGTTTAAGTGTTCAATTGAGTTTAGCTAAGGTGGAAAAAGGCACTGCTAATACTGTCCTGTTTGTCCTGTCCTATCTGCCCCGTCCTCTCTCCTGACTTATCTTGTCTGCCTTTAGGTTGACAACAAAGAGAAGGAGAATAAGGTTGGTTGCTCAGACCCAATAGGTAGCGATGTGATATTTATGAACACGCTTCAAATCAGGCCTTTGTGCAGCTGGGACTTAGTGTTTTGTGTGTTGTGCTGTATTTGTGAACTAGACTTAGCTGTGTATGTTTTGTTTTTATTTATAAAACACTAAACTCCAAGCGTCAGTATGAAGTAGACGAGAAGCTAATGTTTACTGAGTTTAATAATAGTCAAATGTACCCAAGGCTACATGATGTGACCCCAAATGGTTATTAGATGAAACAGATTGAATCATCCGATCTGTGTCATCAAAATGAGTCACATTTTGCAGCTTTGTTTTGTCACTTCCTTTATAGTCTAGTTGCCAGCTTAGTAAACCCATGAATGTTGAGTACCCCATAGTTTTATGTTAGAAATGTATAGTACAGGTCCCCAGCTCATAGAAGTTGGGTTTGTTAGCATTGATGGCATTATAGCCTGTGTTGAAAAATGTCTTGGTCGATTTATACAATTTTGGAGTGGTTTTGTGGGTTATAGAGGGTGCTGAGTCCATTTCTGATATGTTCAGGATACAAACTTGCAGTTTAAACCAGAAAGTGGAAATATTTGTACTTTCTGACTACCATGATGAGTAGTGTTGCGACCATTGGATATAGAGATCACACAATGAAATTGATCTGTAGGTTGTAATGGTATTTGGGCTTTTTTACTGCACCTCAATGTTATAGTTTGTATCTACAGTAAGTTGTCTACCATCTGTCCTCCTGTAGGACGAGTCCTCAGGCTATGATGACAGTGAGGAGGAGCAGGAGAAGGTTTGCTTCCCTCAAAATAGATATCCATAACTAACCGTTCCTCTTCGGCCAGCTGTCCTCTCAGAGCTGGCTGAATTCCTCACATGTAGTTCACAAGACCTTTCATTGACTTTGCAGTGTGTTCTCTGTGTGTCTGACTGTGTGTTTGTGTTTTCTTGTTTCACATTTTGGTTCCCGTCATCATACACCAAGTTATTGTCCTCCCCACGCCTTCTATTTGTTGTTTTCTGTGTGTTTCTTTCTTAATGTCTTTGTTTTTATGCCTCTCTCTGTTGTCCTAAAGCTTGATAAGGAAAAGGTGAGCCATCAGCCATTGACACTCTTTTTTTGAATCATTGATGAAAGCTGTGTCGGTTTCTTTTTATTTTATTGACATTTGGTTATGTTTTCTTTGTTTGCACATCTTCCTAATCTGAATCCAAGAAGGAAAAGGTTTGTTTGCTACTAAGCTGTGTGCGTGCAAATTAGTCATGTTTTTATTAAGCATTTAGAGATGTGTGTGTGTGTGTGTGTGTGTGTGTGTGTGTGTGTGTGTGTGTGTGTGTGTGTGTGTGTGTGTGTGTGTGTGTGTGTGTGTGTGTGTGTGTGTGTTGTGTGTGTGTGTGTGTGTGTGTGTGTGTGTGTGTGTGTGTGTGTGTGTGTGTGTGTGTGTGTGTGTGTGTGTGTGTGTGTGTGTGTGTGTGTGTGTGTGTGTGTGTGTGTGTGTGTGGTTCAGCCGGTTTCTCCCTGATGCTGTTTTGCACTATTATAGAGCGCCTGTCGACTAATTCCTCGAAGAAACCCCCAGGGTGTCGGCTCCCACCGTGCCTGTTGTTAATAATCCTAATGATTAGTATTTTAATGGTTTATCAGTACACTATCTCTATCCTGTATGACGTTTAAACATAACGCTGTGAAAAACAAGTATCAAAGCTTGTTTTAGCTATCACCCCTCAGAGGGGAATGTGATATCAAACTGTATATAAAACCTGAAAATCAGCCACACTAGACCTAAAGGAGTCTCACAGGGAAGCGACAATAGGCGTTATTAATATCTGAGTCAATGTCTGGAGGGAACAAAGGGGAACGGTGAACTTAATCAAAGTGCCATAAAGACTGTGTCTGCTATAATGTAAGTGTGTGAATGAATGTGAGTGCAATGTTTATATTGGAGATACTGGCATCGTCGCTCACTCACAAATGTGTGTCCTTGCAGGCTGAAAAGAAAGACAAAGAGAAACAGGTTGGTGTCTAGTTAGGCTTCAGATTTTCTAATATCCATTCCTTTTCTTGAATCTATTCGAATCTGGTCTTATTCTCTCCTGTAACAGAATAAGCATTTTGAATTAACTCAAATATTCACCTAAATGTACCACGCCATTAAAAGCTAGTTCTATACAAACAGTTTGTGTCTGACAAAGAGAGAGTATGACGGTGTTGGCTTTATATCAAACATTTTCTTTTCATTTTCTGTTTTTCTTTCGCCCCAAGGAGGACGTTAAAAGCAAACAGGTGGGTGCTCCAAACGCAGATAATCAGCCTCACTTAGGGAATAACCAGTAGCAGCCTAATAAAGGGTCCTATAAGTATCTTCCTCATGTTTGTCACATATTAAATTATTTCTATTGATGTTTGATGTCCTACCCACTTGGACTAACGCTTAATGATCTCCTTGCATGGACTGAATATTAAAGGTCACCTATCATGCTATTTTTAGGCAATATCATAGGTCTCAGATATATACAAATATATAAAAAACATGTCTATGAAGTGTTTTGCTCAAAATACCAAACAGATCCCCCATTCTAGCCATGCCTCATATCCCTCTATTTCACTTCCTGTTTCAAAAGTGCTGATTTTGGGTATAAAGCTTTAAAAAAAAAAAATTGATAAAAAAAGAGGGGCGGAGCTTATGCCTGCTCATGCGGGAGATTCTACCGGCAAATTCTGCCGTGATGAAACGCCATATCATGGATTATCAAGGATTATGTCTGAAACAGTATGGAGCTCAAAGGCTTTCTCTCTTGCTGGTATACCACAAGGTGAGTTCTTTTTAATTTCCTGCTTCTTCACACACATGCTCTCCAGTACAGGTTAGCTCTGAGTGTTAGCGATGCTAATGTAAACACCGACCATATTATGTCCAAAACCATCGGGCATTGTTTCTGATAGTGCTGTGGGTCTGCATTGCCGATATTAGGTCATATTGGACGCAAATCTGGATCAGCTCCGTTGTACCCCCGTTTTTAGAGATTTGGGTATGGAGGAAAAGAGAGAGGGTTGGTTTTCTGACACTTTGTGAGTTCCCTGACACACCGGGGACACATATTTATGTATAAAAGACATGCATGCATTTTGCATGATAGGTCCCCTTTAATCAAAAATACTGTCAAACGTGGAAAAGGAAGGATTTTTTAAATGTGCTTTTAAATTTACTTTGGGTCTGTATGAGTACAAAGTGGTCGACCTCATCCTGTCAATAATTCCAATCCATTTGCTGCCACTGTCGACTCGTACTTTTCCCAGAATTCAATTCAAAGTATCGTTCATATATACCAGAAACTTGATTAGGTCACTGGATGAAGCAGCACCCGTTGATTCAATTAGTTTTTTTCCAGGAAGAACCTTTCTTTCTCAGCTTAGTCATTTTGTTTGTGGGTTGTGACATTTAAATTTGACACTTATCATTTCCCTTAACATATCTTGACTGATGTTTCTTTTTCTTATTATTATTAGTCAAAGGAGGAGGTGAACAAGGTTTGTCTGTCACAATCATCTTCATGTTTCCTCCTTAGAGATGTTCCCGCTGAATCACCTCTCAAACTACTCCTATAGATTACCCTGTTAACCATGGTTCAATACTCACCCCTGTCTTACAGTCAGACTGCTGTACATTATTGACACTGCAGGTACAATATTAAAGCAGTCACTTGAATCAATCTTGTTAAACCCGAGCCAAGAGCCCTTTTTTGACCACAAAATAAATGTAAATGGGATCTCTCTATTTGGATTATTTTATTCATTTATTCAAGTGTCTTAAATTATTTCAAAATTATTAATAAAAAACATGAGTCAATCCTGAATTTATAAAAAGTTAAGGGATACATTGGAATATTGGTTAGTCTACAATAAAATAGGGTACGTTTTATTCACTTTTCACAGCATTGCAGTGAATCGTCATAAACTCAAATTAAATAAGTTATTAATTATTTCCAACATTTGGAAAGTGATGCTGTCAGCCGGCACCATATTATTTTGGTTCTTCCATCTACACACAAAGTAGCAAGCATAAACACTATATGAGAAATGATGCTCGTGTTGCAGCTGCTTATCTTGAGTGTGTTTGTTGGTAATATATATTTTACCGAAAGCCTCGTAATTATCTTTGGCCATGAACCATCCATCTTAATTAGTTAAGTAACTGATAATTCATTGTATCAGTTCACTATCGTCCAACAAATCCTCTTTGGGATGAAGTCAGTGTGCAGCAGTGAAACATAAGACTTGCACAGGTGATGTCATTGTCCCCCTTTGTTTTGTAGGATGCCAATAAACCAGAGGCAATAAACATCAAGCTTTTATCCACAATATCATAAAACCCAGCAAAAAAAAAAACCTTGACTTTTTTCTCCATCTGCATATTTACAGTATGACCAACCCTGTGTCTGTGATACTATGGTTTGTGTGTATTGTGACTTTTCTGTCTTTTCTCATTTTTTCTTTCTGTCTTTCTGGAAAGACTGAAGCCACAGCTGCGACAAAGAAGGTACAGTTATGTGGTAGAGAGCGATAAGAAAGTCGGATAGACACATAGTGTTAGTGTTACCTGTTAGTAATTAGACACTTCTAATTTTAGTCTGTGATTCTAATGAGGTGTGTGTGTGTATGTGTGCGTGCGTGCGTTCGTTCTTGCGCACGCTTGTGTTCTTAAACTATAACTGCTTAGTCATTCACTTTTTGGTCCCTCTTAAAATCTTGAATAATTCTGAAATAATGACACATGAACTTAGAATTTGTAATTGGTGTTTAAAATGATCTATACCTAAGCCTGATAGTTTTACTGTATGAACCATAAAATGGGTTTTACATGAGCAAACACTAGATAAGGTAAGATAAGACTTTACTAATAACCGTAGGGAAATTCAGGTTTTGTAGCAGCAACAGCAAGGTAACACAGGATAGGTAAGAGTACATACAGGGATAATGTGAATAATTATTTTAGTAACGGTATAGATTAAAATAACAATTTAATTAGGTTGGGCTGTAACCATATAAACAGATGGGAATAATAGTTAATATGATACAAAATATAAAACGTCTGTGTGCTGGTGCAAATTCAAAGTATGTACATACAGTATAGTGCCAGTTATATTGGGTGTAGCCTCAGTTGAGTGCTCCTCATCTTCACTTGCTCCTCTAGTCTAGAGGGGATGGTATTGGTTTGTTTTTGTGTTGTCCATGTTTTCTTTAATATTTGCAAAGGGTATTTTTAGGTTCATGAAAGAAAATATTGTCAAAACTGTAGTTCACAAACCAATGTGTGACATCACGGTTGTTAATTCACTTCGTATAAACCATCCATGATGAAAACTCACCCAAAAGACAAAGACATAGAGGCTAATTTGGACAACAGCTAGCATGTGACCAATAAAGTGGTAAGAATCCTAAATACAAAACAGTTAGCACCAGTTTTCGGCATAGGCGGAGTTTGACATTTGCGCTTGGGGGGGGCACACCTTTTTTACTGACGTCAGTACACAGTCCCAACTATTGCGTGGGGTGCGGATACAGTAGCAATAAAGCCAGCGTTCACCGCACTGAGTATGACTTTTCCACATACGAACACAACTCGTCCCGTCATGCCCGCTGTACACACACACTCATATGGAAGGGGCGGTCTCTCCCCCCAAAAACAGTGCATTACATAACTGTGCATGGTCCAAATTTCAATCCATGTCTCCCAAGACATTTCTTCCCTCATTTTGCTAAGTTGACACATGGGTTGGATCATGTGTCAAAAGGAGGGATGTTAGAGGCTATCAATCAGGAGTGGTTCACAAGGGGGTTCACAGTAACAGCTCAAAAGCACTGTGAAGCATGCCTAATTTGCATTACGCAAAATTCTGGTAGACCAGTAAAGGTTACAGGACCCGGAGCACATCCACCTCCCACCAGGCCATTTGAGCACCTAATGCTGGATTTCATTGAGCTTAGCCCATCAGAGGGTAAGAAGCACTGTCTGGTGGTGGTTGACATGTGGTCCAAATGGGTTGAAGCTTTCCCAGTAAAAGCACAGACAGCAAATTCTGTGGCAAAGGCACTACTGAGGGAAATCATTCCTCGATGTGGAATACCAGACAAGATTTCTAGTGACAACGGTTCACATTTTGCTAATGAGGCCATTACACAGATAGGAGAATACCTGGGCTTGGATATCAGAAAGCATTGTGCTTACCATCCACAGAGTGGGGGTGCGGTGGAAAGAGAGAACGGCACAATCAAAAACAAGCTAGCAAAATGCTGTGCAGACACAGGTCTGTCATGGACACAGGCTCTGCCCATTGTGCTGATGTACATGCGGACGCGGAAACGAACACGGAGCCAACTCAGCCCATTTGAAATCCTTTTTGGTGCTCCTCCACAGTATTGACTAGGTCTAAGATTTCCGTAACACATCTTATACTTATTTGATAACTACTATATCCCTTGGTTACTTGAACACGCTACAATATTATTAACCAGTGTCCTACTTAGTGCAGAAGTAGACGCCTTAAACGTCCCAGAAATTGGACGTTTTAAAAATTGCTGCATACCCATTACTGCTGATTATTGTAATACAATAGCTGAATCAATGTATGCAAAAAAAAAACAAGGGAACTTGTGTCCTTAACCTCATACGTCACACACACACACACGTCACAACATGCGACTGCTCAAAAATGAAATTATTTCAAACAAAACATGATATTATTCAGATTTGTATTGTAACAATAATTGTATTACATCTATTAAAATATTGATATACGAAATATTTGTATTGGAACAGTTTTAGACGTAGTAATGCTGTAACATATTTCAGCCACTGAAATGCCCCCCCCGCAAAATCCGCCTATGGTTTTCGGGTTGACCAGATCTTATTATTATTATGTCTTCAATGTACTCTCACTGAACTTGGTTTGTCCTCCTGTCTCATATTGGAGTTTTTTTACCCAGTAATTGAATTCATCTCACAGGCAAAACTCCCTTGTCCCACTCACCTCCATAAGCCTATAAAGCTGTTTGACTATGCTCAAGACTTGCAGTTTACATAAGGACAGCTGCGTACTTTACATTTTTGGAAACAGACCAAGAAGGGGGCGTGTCCAGGCTTTCACTTCAATCAACATTTCTCAATTAGATTGAGAGATACTAAAACACTGTCACCTCAAAGTCATTTAGTCCCATTATATGTTGTGGCACTTTGCCCAAAGTCCTCTATCTAATAACACAGTAGAACAGTTATCGATGGCACACTTTCTACAAAGACACTTTGGGATGTCTTATCTGGCAACGTCTAGCCACTTGGCTTTGTAACATGTGGTGCATACTTGAGGTACAGCGTACTAATGAGCGCCAGGTTGTATATCACTGGTTTATGGAACGTCTGGTACCAAGTCCTCAAGGCCATTTTATCCTTCAAACTGAAAACTGCAACCACTTAAAGCTGCATGTGGACCGTATATAAATTAATTATAAAATGCTCCAAATTTGACTACAAAGTCCCCTGGATGACAGTAACTTCTAACTATTATACTGTGCTAGCACTTTAACAACAAATGTGAATATAATAATGTAAATGTTTCATGTAAAAAATGGGAGGTTCCCTTGTATTACAGGTCCAAAGAACTTGCGTGAAAGCATAGTGTGAAATAAATCGCTGAACATGTGTTATTCTGCTTGATTAGACATGAGTTTAGCCTACAAATCTTATTTTAAAATATGTTTTACCTATTTGATTGCATAAATTATTGCAATGCATCGAAATGTTAGATAGTTTTAGAGCCCAGTGTGCTCTGATTGGTTAACTGTCCGGCTGTGTTGAGATTGGTCAACCGCTTAGGGATGTCCCGCCCCTTTGCCAATCACGTACAATGTGTTGGAGCGCTAGCCAATAGAAGTGCAAGTGTTACATTGCGATTTCACTGTTACAGAAGTAAACAACGGAGTCCAATGGAGGCTTTTCAGGCCAAAAAAGAAAAGAAGCACAATAGGACCTCTTTAACCCTTGTGTTGTGTTCACATTTAGCACCCTTTGGTAATGTTCGGGTCAAATTGACCCGGGACATATTTCAGGGTTTAAAAAAAATACAGAACTAAATTCAACATGCACAATTCCTTATATATTTTGTCTTTAACTCATTCCCCAACAATATAAATGAAATATATGATTAGTTTTTGAAAATACTCTTTGCTAGATCAAATGTAACAATGGAAGTGTCCATCGTTTTTTGTGATAAAAATGTAATTTATGTTTAAAAAATATATACTGTAATAAAAACTAGGTTTCATTTTGCTCATGCTTTTCTAGGACTAATGTAAATGAAACATTTTTTCATTAATGTTTATTATTTGTAATCTGTCATATAATAATCAAAGCCCTGAAGGAAATAAAGCAATTTAGCAGCTATTGGAACACAAGAACCACACAGCCAAAAGTATTTGGCTGTGAAATATAGAGAGAATGAAACATCCATATAAATGACATAGAACAGATATAAACACAAAGCAAATAAAAACAATTAACAGTCACTATTCATAAAATACAGTATATCCAAAAAATATATTGATGAAGTGACGCTGCAGAACATCATGTGAGTCAATGGGCAAGTCCGTTTAGGAAACACATGATGTACAGAACTTCTTCGTGGGTATAGCACAGATGTACTTGTTGCATGTAGTCTGTGTCTTGGAGTCCTTTGAGGGTCCACAGACCTCACAGCTGGCTGTGGGGGTCTTCCAGAAGCTGACTGTGGGGGTCTTCTTGCTGCTGGCTGTGGGGGTCCTTCAGCGGCTGGCTGTGGGGGTCTTCCAGCAGCTGGCTCTGAGTCAAGTTCATCTTCCAATTTGCTGTCAAATTCTGAGTTTACCACATTATCCTGATCTTCAGAAATGTCTTCCTGTCCCACTTCACCGTGTTCCTCTAATGCATTCCACTCACTCTCATCCATTATTAGCTCCAAGGCTCTGAGCAGAATATCTTTTGGCCATTTTGTTGGTAGATAATTGTAGTTCTGCACTACACTGTTACTACACTGAGGTTATGTCTCTGTTTAGTCCCTCCTCCGGCGTGCAGGTGCGAGGGGGGACAGTGCGAGAAAATGTAAAATGTTTATACATTTCTGGAAGATCTAAAATGTTTATAATGTTCTAGGATAGTTTTGTGTACACACTACAAAGGGTAAAGATCAAGGGAAAACAGGATCAAACAGGTTCTCTATGCATACAATTGTGTGTGTGTGTGTGTGTGTGTGTGTGTGTGTGTGTGTGTGTGTGTGTGTGTGTGTGTGTGTGTGTGTGTGTGTGTGTGTGGTGTGTGTGTGTGTGTGTGTGTGTGTGTGTGTGTGTGTGTGTGTGTGTGTGTGTGTGTGTGTGTGTGTGTGTGTGTGTGTGTGTGTGTGTGTGTGTGTGTGTGTGTGTGTGTGTGTGTGTGTGTGTGTGTGTGTGTGTGTGTGTGTGTGTGTGTGTGTGTGTGTGTGTGTGTGTGTGTGTGTGTGTGTGTGTGTGTGTGTGTGTGTGTGTGTAAACCTCTTATGAAGGACATAAATGCGGGTGGGCATTTTTTCATAAGTGGAAAAAAATAAAAACAATTCCACATGTCCTTCACAATAAATAAGCCCCGGCCATTGAGTTTCAGGTTGAACGAAAATATCCTTATTTTATTTTTTTATTCATTGAAAATGGAAATCGGGTCAATTTGACCCGAACACCACACAAGGGTTAAGCATTAATCAGCACTTTGCTTAATTGGCCTTAAGATGTTACCTAATTCCTTTGTATTTACTGGCATTAACATGAGTCTGAATCAAACTATTCCAAACCCACCAAGACAAGTAGATCACACTGTAACATTGGCTGGTAGAATGGCAAAACAAATTGGCAAATCTGTACTTAAAAGTTTCCTTGTCCAAAAAACATTTCTTGGACCAACAAGGCTCACAACACAATCCAGTCATTACAATGGCACCACAAAGGAAGAAGTGCCAGCAATGTATTTCAGCCCTGGATTATCTTTGCTTCCAATGCAGTCAGGTAAAACTGAGCAGGACATTTGATTCCCTGCCAGATCACCTGATCTGAGTCTGACTCTTAGCTTAAAGGTAACTGTAATTTGGACAGTTCCTTTGACTTTACTAGTCAAATTTGCCAAGAAACCTGCATTAAATGTCAGTTCAGCATTACTGATTTTAGTTATTTTGACACCAGAACATCTTTACTTTGTTTGCCGTGTACACATCTCAGAAAAATAGGCACCTTTTGGTCCTGAAAATGCCTACCGAGAAAAGAAAACTCTTTAAACTCATTTAAATCTCTTCCTAAGCAACTTTCTCCTTATTTCTACTTCCAACATCAACCTCACGCTGCTTCCCACCAGGTTGATTCTACATTATTATTCACCAATTTCAGCTTTCTTTCTGTTAACAGGGGAAGGGTGGCGGCCTCCTGCTGTCAAATTATTTTCACTGAATGTAAAAAATAGATTTGTATTCCAAACGTATCTTGTGGTATACTTTTAGCTTCAGGAAATGCTGTTTATCGCTTGTAGCGCTCATTCACACACTGTTGAATGGGTTTGAAGTATTTGAATGAGCCTCTTTATACTTACTGTAAAAACTCTCCCCAGCTGAAATCTTACTCAGATCTTTTGCATTTCTTTCCTGTTTACCATTCTGTATCCATGGCACACGCTCACTATACACCCATACTGTAGAGCACCATGTGTATCTCTGACTCACTGTAGTAACAAAGTTCACCCACTGAGAAATTAATGTGGAGTTACACACGCTTACTCATCTCGGCTGCACAAATGTAATGTGCTATGTTTGCCTATTCAAACACCATCCAAATGTGCTTCATACACATTCATTTTGCTGCAAATTAAAGCTCAAACATTCACAAATAGCACTAAAGAGTTGCTGATATTAACTTGTGAACATAAGATGTTCGAACATTTTCAGATCCCAGTCCCGAGCTAGAGTTCACAAACAAGCAACTAACTTTTGCTAATGCTGACTGTAAATAACAAAACTCTAAATGGTGCTGTACTTGCATCACCTAAGACCATAAACAGAGCCTGATGTCTCATGATGGTGAGGTTGGACAGTAACGTCCTAATGTCCCGTAGATAAATTGGTGTCATATTCTAGCTGCAAATCAGAGCCTTACTGATCAATGTTTCAGTTTTAAAGGGGCTAATTTTCCGGTTTCATATTTGTATTTTGTTCTACTGAGGCATGTTTACATGCTGTAATTTTCAAAAAGGTCTTTATTTATCTCATTCTGCCTAGCCCAGTCTGCTCTGATTGGTTAGCTGGCCGACTCTGTAGTGATTTCTCATCCGCTTGTTACCCGCCCCTTAGCCTATCATGTACAATCGCGAGTGTTACATATTGATGTCACTATTTTATATAAGTAAACAAAGGAGTTCAATGGAGGTGTTTCATAGTGTGTATGGAGAGAAACACCCTCTGGAGGCAACTTTGGTATTTATGATATGGCAGCCCATTAACATGCACAAAAACCTATATAACACACTACAGGAAAGGGAACAACCCCAAAAGCATGATAGGGCCCCTTTAACCAGACACATCAGCAGAGTGTCACACCTGCTGCTCAAACCTGCATGAAATGTACACAGATTTACTTATTCTACACCCATCTGCTTGTGCAAAAACAGACCATATATTGTAAGAAATATTCCTTTAGTGGAACTTGTTTCCCCAACTGCATGTACAGTGCATCCGGAAAGTATTCATACCCCTTCACTTTTTTCAAATGTAGTTATGTCAGCCTTATTTCAAAATGAATTAAATTATTTTTTTCCTCAACATTCCACACTCAATACCCCATAATGACAAATAGAAAACGTTTTTAAAGAATTTTTCGCAAATGTGTTAAAAATAATAAAATGAAATATCACATGCACATAAGTATTCACCCCCTTTGCTATGAAAATTGAGCTCAGGCGCATCCCGTTTCCACTGATCATCCTTGAGATGTTTCTATAACTTGACTGGAGTCCACCTGTGGTAAGTTCAATTGATTAGACATGACTTGGAAAATAACACACCTGTCTATATGAGGTCCCACAGTTGACAGTGCATATCAGAGCACAAACCAAGTCATGAGGTCCAAGGAATTGACTATAGACCTCAGAGACAGGATTGTATCAAGGCACAGATCTGGGGAAGGGTACAGAAAAATGTCTGCAGCATTGAACGTCCCAACGAGCACAGTGGTCTCCATCATTTGCAAATGGAAGATGTTTGAAACCATCAGGGCTCTTCCTAGAGCTGGCTGCCCAAACCAAACTGAGCAATGGGGGAGAAGGGCCTTAGTCAGAGAGGTGACCAAGAACCCGATGGTCACTCTGACAGAGCTCCAGTGTTCCTCTGTGGAGATGGGAGAACCTTCCAGAAGGACAACCATCTGTGCAGCACTCCACCAATCAGGCCTTATGGTAGAGTGGCCAGAAGGAAGCCACTCCTCAGCAAAAGGCACATGAAAGCCCCCATGGAGCATCTAGAGGACTCTCAGACCATGAGAAACCAAATGGTCTGGTCTGATGAAACCAAATTTGGCCTGAATGCCAAGCATCATGTCTGGAGGAACCCAGGCACCGCTCATCACCTGGCTAACACCATCCCTACAGTGAAGCATGGTGGTGGCAGCTTCATGCTGTGGGATGTTTTTCAGCGGCAGGAACTGGGAGACTAGTCAGGATCAAGGGAACGATGAATGCAGCAATGTACAGGGAGATCCTTGATGAAAACCTGCTCCAGAGCGCTCTGGACCTCAGACTGGGGCGAAGGTTTCAACAGGACAATGACCCTAAGCACACCGCCACGATAACAAAGGAGTGGCTTCAGGACAAGTCTGTGAATGTCCTTGAGTGGCCCAGCCAGAGCTCAGACTTGAACCAGATTGAACATCTCTGGAGAGACCTGAAAATGGCTGTGCACCGACGCTCCCCATCCAAGCTGATGGAGCTTGAGACAATCTGCAAAGAAGAATGGGAGAAACTGCCCAAAGAAAGGTGTGCTAAGCTTGTAGCATCATACTCAAGAAGACTTGAGGCTGTAATGGCTGCCAAAGGTGCTTCAACAAAGTATTGAGTAAAGGGTGTGAATACTTATGCACATGTGATATTTGAGTGTTTTATTTTTAATTCATTTGCGAAAATTATTTTAAAACGTTTTTCACTTTGTCATTATGGGGCATTGTGTGTAGAATGTTGAGAAAACAAATGAATGTAATCCAAATTGAAATAAGGCTGTAACATAACAAAATGTGGAAAAAGTGAAGGGGTATGAATACTTTCCAGATGCACTTAGTTAGGGAGGGAGAATGGTCACTTTCAACAGTGATCTGCCAGTACAGTGTTGTGTAATGCAAGGCAAGTTTATATACAGAGTACATTTCAACACAAGGCAATTCAAACTGCTTTACAAAAATAAAAACATTAGCAGCAGAAACACATATTTAAATAATATTTAAAATACATTTAAAAACAGTCATTAAATAGGCTAGGTCCACAAGCGGAGGACCTTGGTTCGAAACTGGCTCGGGACTATTTCCCTCATGTCATCCCCTCTGTCACGCATTTCAACTCTGTCTCTACAAGAAAGGCACAAGTTGCCCAAAAAACATTTTTAAAAATAAATAAGGCCAAACAAGCTTAAAAATAATCAAACAAAAGAAAAGTCTTCAGCCTAGTTTTAAGTAGTGAGACTTGCGTTGGACATGGATGCACAGATATTTGGAGCATAATAACTCAATGCTGCCTGGGTTAGGGTTAGTGTTTAGTTTGGACACTGGGACAACCTGTCCCAGAAAACCTGAGACAGAACACTGAAACAGTTATATCCATTCAAGGGGGTCATGTAGTGCCCATTTACTGACCCATACTTGCATTTTGGTCTAATATTAGTTTAATATTAAAGTGTACATGCATTAACATTATGTTTATCATTCTCTTTGCTGAATGCACCTATATTCACCCTCTGTGTGTCTTCTTTAGCCCCTCTCTGATTGGCCTCCCAAGAGAAATTGCAAAGGACTAGAACTGTATGCATTAACTGCTGTTGACATGTAGCTTTCTATTTCAGGCTGTAAATAATTGATTGTAAAGAATTGAAATAACCTTGTTATCACTTTTTCCTCCTGTTCCGTTATGTGTGTGTTGCAGCTGGATACCGAGGCAGCCGACATCCTGAATGACCTGCAGGTGAAGCTAAACACCTTCCTGGACAACTTCAGCATGGGATTTGCCAAGAGGTAACACACACGCTCACACACGCTCACACACACACACAGACCTGTATGCATGTCTGAGGAACAAGCCTCTATCAGGCCTGCAGAAGTGTTCTCGTCTAAGTTTGTCTCTCCCTCCAGTTTCCAGGCTCGTATTAACGGCTGCATGCGTCAGATGGCTGAGCTCCTCTACCAGATCAAAGGCCCCCCCAACCACAACACTGCAGAGGCAGACGCTGACAATATGCTGAGGCCCCTCATGGAGTTCCTGGATGGGAAGTAAGTGAGAGTGTGACACACACAGTGACTCCAGTTGGATGCTGCTAGAAGAAGCTATACCCAGGATCGGATCTCTACTATACTTGGTTTGTTAAAGCACCAATGAGAGGTTCACTTTCCTTAGAACCTCTAACTAGAACAAACTCAATCAAGGAGGTGATCTGACCCAATGTTTTTCTGCAATGGAGGGGGGTTTTTTTTGGGTTTGATAAATGGACTGCATTCATATGGCGCTTTATCAAGTCTTTACGACCACTGAAAGCGCTTTAAATATATAGGATGGCTCCCTTTATAAATAAAGGAGGCCATCATTCGCCCAATCACACCCATTCACACAGTCAGCCATCAGGAGCCACTTGGTTAACTATTTTGCCCAAGGATACACCGACATGTTAGATTTGAACCCAAGGTGAAGGCATTTATATAGCACTCTCAGCCGTAGTCATGGGGAAAGAAAATTAAAAAATGAAAGCAACTTCGTATCACGGGGCATTAACGGTTTGCTTTTGTATTCATCACTTATGGAAACAACCTTGGTGAAGGTTTTTATATTATTGTCTAGGAAACTAGGAAATGGTTGCAAACGTTCATAATCTACTGAGGCTCTTTTTAAACGTACGCGTCTCTATTTGTCATGAATTGTTAATACGAGGTTGATATGTGTATCTTATTATGTTTTGAACGCCAAGTGTTGTTTTGTGCACCTTACACACTTAATGCCTAGTAAAACTTAAGTGTTTTGTGTAAAGATAACCATATTATTGTTCTCACTGTCAATGTAACTGTTGGCAGAGTTAGTCTGTTTAATAAGTGTAAGTGTTTGTCAGTATATTTGAAATTACTAGGTAAGCTTCGTTAGCTAGCTAGCTTACAGCAGATCTGCAATAATATGGTAAGGAATCATGCGATAACATTGTTAAAATACAGTAAGCCGATTAAAACGTACATTTTAGGTAACTTTCCAGTGACAGTTGGCTAACTTTATAATCCCCTACAAGCACTCCTGTCCCTGCGGTGTGAGTCACATTTTAGTGTCCCCGTTTCCTTTGCGTTTTGTTATGAGAAAAAACGACTGGTATTCTGATGATATAGTGTTAATATCTCTGATAACAACTCAGACAACACTGCACCAACCTGGCGTAAACAAAGTGGTTGAGAGGAGTGCTCATAGTGCTCCTGAGATGTGTTTGAATGTTTCTCTCCTTGTATCTTTGTCCTAATATTTGTCCTCGTCTATGCTGAAAATGGAGCTATTGTGAAGCAAGATACATTTCAGACTTGATCTCGTACTTCATGAAGACTGTAGTTTTAGCTCACATGTTGTGTTTTTTGTGTCCAGTCTCAGTATCTTTGCTGACGTCTGTGAGAAGACAGTGTTGAAGAGGATCCTGAAGGATCTGTGGAAGATCGTCCTGAGCAGCCTGGAGAAGACCATCGTCCTGCCGCAGAGCAACGACAGTCTGGTAAGAACAGTCTTAACCTCAACCGGCACAACTACATCCCGCCTAAAGCCCCTGTCACACTGTCCCGAAATTGACACCCGATGGACACACGATAAAGGAAATGTTCAAATTCGGCTGTGATCGTAGCAACATCGGGCCATTCGTGAGGGCATCTAAGCCATCGTATGATCGCTGGTGGAGTTTCTCAGGCTCCGGCAGCAACTTCGTGAGCGGCAACTTCGTAAGGCACTCGTGAGGGCATCTTGTCAAGTCGTGTCATCTTCGTGTTATCATCGGTGCATTCGCCCTCACTCTGATCGGGGCGAATGCCCGATGGCACCGATGATAACAAGATGCCCTAACGATGGCCTTACGCAGGGCAAAATTGACACACGAATTCAACACGAAAATGAACCTTTGCAAGGTCCTTCGGCTATTTTTTGGCATGCCAAAGATTTTGCCTGAAGATATCAGTACTGTATCATAGTACTTTAACATAATTGTTTGTGTTACTTTCGTTGCAGTTGTATGTCTTAAATGTAATGTAAATGTTGCCTTCGTGTGTGGTTCGGAGCCATCTTCGTGCGAAATTCACAATTCAATATTCGTGTGTCCATCGGGTGTACATTTCGGGACAGTGTGACAGGGGCTTTACCCACACCATTAACTAAACTCACTCTCACCATAAACAAGAGTACTGCACTCTTATAACATTATCAGACTCACTAAAGGCAGGTTAAAGAAAGGAAGATGGATCAGAATCAATAAAGTCGAATTAGAGGTGTCATCTTTTTAATTCCGCACGTTTTTCTTACTCGTCAAAACCTGTCCTCTGCTGCAAAAATCTCAGTCAAATCTGGCCCTTACAAAGCTAGAAGAAAAAGAACATTAACACAAGATAATGGAAAAAACTGTTTTATGATGAGTAATCAATATGCCTCATTTATTTTCTTCTGTCAAATGTATTGACAGTCATCACGATTCCAGCTTCACATTCTAATTGTTTTATTCAGAGGGCAGAGAGGGAGATTTTCAAAGACAATATTTGGGGGTGTACTTGCCCATTCTTTACAAATCACATAGACTAGCTTATTCTATTGTAGCCAACCCTTTTAGTAAATGAGGTTGTTTTGCTGCATTAATTTCCTTTGTTGTTATGTTTTTGCTCCTGTGGTAATGGAGCAGCAGACTGGGGCTGTATTGAAAAAAAATATTCTAATTACAGTTTCTGAAAACCAGCTGCCAAACTCTTTATAAAGCACAGATTTACCTAAAACAGGGTTCCTGCAAGGTGGATTTCAGACTGTTTTAGATCACATATAATATATAGGAATAATCATATATTTGCGGTAATTCGGGCAGAAGTATTAAAGAGGCCCTATTATGCTCATTTCCTGATTGGTATTTGTATTGTGTGCCTCTACTGTGACATGTGTACATGCTTTAATGTTCAAAAAGCAAGCAAAGAATACATTTTGACGGCTAGAAGGGGTGTGGGAGGGATTTCAGTGTGAATTTATTTTATGCATGTTTTCCTGTGTAACTATAGCAACACCTGCATTCACATGGTCTTGCATCAACACATGGTTTACTCCTAAGACATAAATATACTTATATTATTAATTATCTTATCAAGTGTATTGTGTCTCCACAAAGCAAAGCTCAGGCATTCATTGTCAGCTACCTGCGCTCACATATAGCAAAAAGCATTTTACTGTCATCAATGGGATCGTCAGAGCACTAAGGAAGGGGGTTGGTCAATCTGCAGATATCAATTGTGATTATGTTGAGCTGTGCTGACACCCAGTGGCGGATGGCAGCAAATTCTCCAGTTTGATTTCTTCTGTGAACACGTTGATCGTGTTGAATCCGAGCAGTTTTTCTTCTGTAGAGAGAAATGTGACAAACAATGAAGCATGAATGATTGGAAGCAGTCTCAAGGTGATCTTGATTTACCGTCTTTGTTCTCTCTCCAGGGTGCCCAGCTCCTCACAGCAGCTAAAGGACTGTCCAGTCTCAAGGTAACACATGCAGTAAAAAAAGAATTGCCACTTGTAGCCTTCTGAAGACACATAAGAAGGATTCAATTGTATTTATGTATTTGAGTTTGTTTGTTTGTTTGTAGCCTTTATTTAACCAGGTGAAGCCCCTTGAGATGAAAAGATCTCTTTTTCAAGGGTGACCTGCAGGACATTAGTTACACATGTAACATAAAAACAACAGAACAACAATAAGGATGACATACAACATAATGTGCAGGGTACAGTTTACAAACTCTATTTACAGAGACAGGTACCATGAGCATCAAACAGCATGTCACCCAGCCGAGTTTTAAAATGATGCAGGGGAACCAAAGTGCTCAGTTTTAAACATGTTTGCAGACTGTTCCAATTTAGTGGAGCTGCACAACTAAAAGCTTTCTTCCCTAAGACAGTCCTAGCACTTGGCACATTTAATAAAACAACATCATGAGATCTCAGGCAATACGTACTTTCAATTCGTCGAGAGATCAGAGAGCAGATATAAAAAGGTAGTTTACCCAACATGGCTTTGTAAATGAACATGTACCAATGACTGAGCCTCCGTACAGTTAGTGAAGGCAGACCTGCCTTGGCATACAGGGTACAGGGATGAGTAAGTGCTTTACAGTTAGTAACAAATCTCAGGGCACTGTGATAGGCGGCATCTAACTTGTTCAGGCAATAGGCAGGTGCATTCATATAGATCAGATCACCATAGTCCAGCACAGGTCAAAAGGTCACAGTGACTAGCCTTTTCCTGGCTTCAAAAGAGAAACAGGACTTGTTTCTGAAAAAGAAACCTAGTCTAACTCTCAGCTTTTTAAGCAGGTTATTGACATGAAGTTTAAAAGTAAGACAATCATCAAGCCAGATACCCAAGTATTTATAACTGGTAACCACTTCAAGTACTTGTCCTTGCATAGTAACAATATCCAAAACAGGCTCTGGTGTCTTTTTAGCTTTTGAAAATAGTATTACCTTGGTTTTATCAACATTTAAAAGAAGCTTAAGCTCAGCGAGCTGAGTCTGAATAATGTTAAAAACAGCCTGTAATTTAACACCAGCCTCCTGAATGGAGGGACCTGCACAATACATCACGGTATCATCAGCATACAAATGTAAAGTAGCTTCATTCACATTTTCACCTAAACTGTTGATATATATAGAGAATAAAAGTGGACCTAAAACAGAACCTTGAGGAACACCATTAGCAATGTTTAACCACTCAGAAGACAGCCCATCAAAGTGAACACATTGGGACCTTTCAGAGAGGTAGTTCACAAACCACCCCACTGCATGGCTGGATATGCCAATACTGAGTAGCCTCTGCTTTAAGATGCGATGATCGACGGTATCAAACGCTTTGGAAAGGTCAATAAATAGAGCTGCACAACTCTGCTTATTATCCAAAATACTAGTAATGTCATTCACCACTTTCATTGTCGCAGTGATGGTGCTATGTTGCTTTCTGAATCCTGACTGATGTCTAGACAGGATATCATTTATACATAAAAAGTCCTTTACTTGGTCACTCACAAGTCGTTCGAGCACCTTAGCCAGAACTGACAATTTGGAGATTGGCCTAAAGTTATTTAAAATAGTTGCCTCCCCTCCTTTTAGTAAAGGCAAGACATAAGCTGACTTCCATACTTTTGGAATTGTATTTGTGCTGAGGGAGAGGTTAAAAAGAGTAGTAAGAGTGTTGCCCTTAAGGAAAGTGTGTCTAATGTCCGTCTGTGAACTCTGGTTCCTGCAGGGAGGGGGTGAAGCCAAAAGCTTGACGCCCAAACAGTGTATAATCATGGACGCAGGGCTGGAGACCATCAAGGTAAGTGGACATTCAAATGTAAATTCATGAAAAACACAAAAAAAATTCAGCAGCATTTAGACAATTTCGAGACATTTGTACAATTCTTTGGCATTTCTAAACATGCATGATATAGTTAAAAGTTAGAGAGAAACTCCCTAAAGACTTTTTGTTACATGCACAAAAACCTATATTATACACTACAGGAAAGGGGAAACCCCCCACAAAGTGTATTATCAGTCTTTCAACCTTAAATGTTTACTTTCTCTCCTTCATGCTTCTTGTCTCTTCTCTTACAGCAATACTTCCACGCAGGAGGAAACGGGCTGAAGAAGGCGTTTGTGGAGAAAAGTCCTGAACTAGCTTCACTGCGTTACGCCCTCTCCCTCTACTCCCAGAGCACCGACGCTCTCATCAAGACCTTTGTCACCACACAGCACTCCCAAGGTAACCACACACACACACACACACACACACACACACACACACACACACACACACACACACACACACACACACACACACACACACACACACACATACATGTACAGTCTACAGGATTTGGGGTTGGTAAAGAGTGTTCTTAACATTTCTGCTCTCTCCTGTCCTCACAGTGCATTATGGGATGGGCATCAGGATCACTGGAAATGAGAAGATCCGACCTGATAGGGGTAAGTCCACTGCTCTCTGCATCAGTCTGAAATCAAGGCTCTATAATCATAACCATATTCTTTTGAGATAAATACACCTCGGTGAAATCTGGAGAAACACCTAAATATTAAAGGTTCATGAAATATAAACTAAAGCTTTCTATATACTTTTTGGACTTGATGTGATGACATGTTTCCTACTTCCAATCTTCTACAGAGCACACGTTTTTTATGCTGTAAATGATCACTTCCTTGTGAAGTGTATGTCACATTTCAAATTAGCGTCATGATGCTCTATTATAGCAAAAGGTATTTTAGCAACTTTTACGAAAGCTGAAATATAATATTATTATATATACATTTTAAATAACAGAGTGACTCAATGCAGCAGCACTGGCATAAATATGAGGATTAAAAGCTGTTGTTAGTCATGTTAATGTTTGTCGTGGTGGTTGTGTTCTGCAGGCTCGGGGATAGAGAAGCCCATTGGAGAGGCCATACTGCAGATCGACATGATGCTCGGAAAAGAACGCAAAATCATTGTCAAAGGTGAGAGTCATCAGATCCAAATGCACGAACAAATACAATTAAACCCTGATGTTTAAACTGCAACCTTAAATATCTAAACTACATACTGTCCCACACCTAATCTCTAATTGTGCCTTTAAAGGACCAAACGGTTTGTTTTGTATGTCTTAAGCCATTAACTTGTAGTTGTTTATACCTTGTATTTCTGGGTTCAAGTGCTTGTCCTTAAAGGGGCCTTACTATTCTAATTTTCAGGTTCATATTTGTAATTTTCTGTAACCTCAAGGTACATTTTTTATAATCAAGGCTGAACTTTGAAGCCAAACAAACATTAAGAGTCATTATTTTTGGCTCAATTCTAGGTTGTATTTCAAAGGATTGGTTATTTGAAAAGACCTTATTTTGCTGTCTAAATCAAAATAAATAGGTCTTAGGTCTTTGCGGGGTAACTTCAATACCCTTTTAAAAATGGACTAAAACAGACTGATTGTCATCAGTAATGCAAGGTGATTGGCTCTTAATAGTTTTATAGGAAACATTCAAAACATGGTCCTTTTAAATAAGGCAGCAATAGAGTGGTGCAGGGATGACCTATTTACCCGGAAATAAACTGCTCATGGCGATTCCCTCGACAAAAAAGCAATGGGATTTCTCCATAGGGTTTTGGAAAATAGCTCGAAATAAGGTCTGTGGAAAACGAACCTGTTTGATAAATGCACGTTTTGTTCAGCCGGATAATATCCACATGTCTACCCTACTTTTATAATTTTCTAATCATAAATCTAATCACCAGAAGCAAAATGCTAACGTTATGCTATAAACGAACTATAGCCGAGTACAGCAGCACGACTTCAACGTCACGCCAACTTAAGATCCATATTCAAAAATACAGATTCAAAATGGTACAAGTTGAAGCGTTTTTTGAACAGTTTGCAAGAGCGCAGGTACTTGCTTTCAAGTAGAACAGGGCAAACAAACTTAGCGGGAGTGTTTTACATGTTCGGTGTATTGACGTACAACGGCCTCGACAGCTTCTGCAGTCCTATTCAGCCACTTGGTAACAACCATCGTTTTCCAGACACGTACACTCTTCAAAAATCACCAGTGGGGTCACTGCTGATGTATTTTATGTCGTAGAACAGAACGTGATCCGTCTCTTAAATGTGTGTCAACAGACCTTATTTCCAGCTATTTTCCAAAATCCTATGGAGAAATCCCATTGGCTCTGAGACGACGGAACCGGTAGTGGTAAAATGCTAACTCACTTCCAGGTTTTAGGACTCGTCACTGCACCACTCTATTGAAAAAATACTTTTACTATATCATTGTCAGGCCCTCTTATCTTTAGAACTGACAAATAGTCATGCAAATGGGGCACATACATACTCAATTGGATCAAAAGAGAATAAAATATATATATTTACACATGCAACCACAAACACTTAATTGTATCATCTGATGGCACCATCATCCTCACTGCCTCTCTTCCTCTGTCCGTCCAGTCATCGCAGTGAATGACATGAAGTGGCAGACATCAGGGATGTTCCGGCCTTTCGTGGACGTCTCCATGGTCGGTCCCTTCCTGGCCGACAAGAAGCGCAAATTCACCACAAAGTCCAAGAACAACAGCTGGTCGGCGAAGTTCAACGAGGCTTTCCAGTTGTGAGTTTTAATTGTGAACTCTTACACCTACAAATAAGCTCAGTGTGTTGTGAGATTTCTGGCCAATTCTCGATTATCCTTTCTGCTCTGTAGTGTCCTGGGTAAGGAGTCCCCGGACTGCTATGAGCTCCAGGTGACGGTGAAGGACTACTGTTTCGGCCGGGCGGACCGGGTGGTGGGCATGGCCGTGATCCAGCTCCGGGACATCGCTGACCGCAAGAGCTGCGTCTGCTGGTGTCCGATCGGCCCGCGCGTCCAAACTGACGAAACGGGCCTGACGGTGATGCGCATCTTGTCCCAGCGGGCTGCGGACGAAGTGGCCAAAGAGTTCGTCAAGCTGAAATCTGAAACTCGTCCTGTGGAGGAGGGCAGATGAGCGGAGATGCTGACTGAAGAACAAAGAAATTGTGAAAATGTGAAACTGACATGGAGCATGGTCAGGGTGTAGAGTCAGGGCTATGTGGTTCTGTATGTTGTTTATGAGCACTTTTCATATATCATCCTCAGCAAACACAGACCATTAGAGCCTCTGACATGGAGGAGATCCTCAAAAGACAGAAGTAAGTCGACAATTTGTCATAGCTATGGTGACAAGGAAATGTATTTAATTCAAAGGGCACATTTTGGGAAAGAGATGCTTTCTCACAATGTTGAAAAAGAAGAACACAATCAGCACCAATCTTCTAATCCTGATGAAGGACTATTTTGTATGCCTGTAGCAAACTAAACCCATCATCTGTTGGTGATCCGAGATGCTTATCCATAGTCTTTACCAAACAAAGTACATTGTCTCCGTCTATCTGACTCTATCTGAGTGGACTTAGACAACAAAAACTCTACTCTGGCATTTTAGCCCAGACCTGCCTACCATTTATTTTTGATAGGTTGTTATGCCCTGAAGACGAATGCATATCAGCTCATATTAAGCTTTATGTCAAGATTCACATAATCTTACATAACAACAAAATGCCCTGGAAACGCAATTACCAGTAACTATGGTTACTAGATGGAGACTTGAGGAGCCACTGGCTGAGTTTCTCTGAGCAGCAATAGCCTTAAAGGGTTTGAAAAGTCCAGGGCTATGTCCAAGGCGGCCCTCTTGCATTGTTTCTTATCCATTTTGGCCTGTTATGCAGATGTGCTGTTTTACTGAGTCCAAAGGGGGAAGGTAAACATATGTGATTGGGTCAGCCCAGTGTCAATTGGATAAAAAACAAACGATGGGCCGCCTTACCTGTTTTATGGGGCCGGTCAGGGAGAAAAAAAAAGAAAAGATGGTTGTGTTGGCCAAAATAGCAAGGCGACCAGCAGGAAAATGTTCGCTATTCCACATGGCCAGTCAACCCCTGCCTAAAACTGCATGGACCTGAGTCGTTACTTCTGAGAGCTCATAAGGACTAATGTTTAACGTTCATAAATCATTTATGACATGAGAGGAAAGTGAGTTGGAGGAAGTAATCCCAGATTGTGGTATTGGTGACTCCTGACAGTCGGACACTGCTTAATCTGGTAGCCACTGTTTTCCCCCAAAAAAGTGAAATTGAATGAACAAATGTCTGTGCTTAGCGTGAGCTCAACAATAGAGCCAAATAAAACACAAAACAGGATCGTGTTTTACTCGATTTTGATGATAAAATCAACTTTCACACACATTGAATGCATCACGAGTCCTCATCACATCCTCTTATCCAGGCAAATTGGCACTTGTAGCAACACATTTACGTTACAGAAATAAAGATATTCAGGATACGTCAATCCAGAGAGTGCATGTTATTAAATTGCAGCGTTTCTGGAGAGTTGATGCGAAGCTTCGCTAGAAAATACCCTCAGACAGTCATATTTTTCATGTAGTTGAACCAGGAAGAAGTCTGTCAAGATGCATGTGAAATATTTTACCAGAAGGAAAATCGAAAAACTGAAATACTGAGATGAAATCATTTGAAATACATAGCCTTAAAAAATGAAATCCTGCAAACTATCGTAGCTAGCTCAGTGTACATCGTGCTCAGACTTTAGTGACGGTGTGTAGGATTTGAATTGAGTGTTGCAGATTGCAACCAACTAAATACCCTTTGGCTCAGCCCACTTTTGAACCAAACATGAATGGATACAACATTGACTTGTGAAGTTAAAAAACTAGATTTTCTATGAAAGCGAAGAACTATAGTAGAGTTGTTTAAAATATTTGACAGACCTCTGTGGCCAGCTGAACATACAGTAGTTCAGCTGAGAAGAAATGCAGTCATAAGTTTTGAATTGAGCTCTTCTCTGTTTTTGCCATGTGTCAAACTGTGACTTTAGACTCTGTTTACCTGCAACCTGCTCTTATTGTAAAAAACTAACAAAACTTGACCTGATTTCAGGGGTTAGATAATGTGAACACATGTTATGGAGGGACAGAAATGGACCTCTAAGAATGTAATATTAGTCTGTATTTGCCATTTTGAATTGGATGAGAACTCACAGTAAGTCGTACAGCCTTGCCATGCATGCACATACTTTACCAATCATATGTTTGTGGATATTTGATTGGTGTTATTGCATTAAACACACTACAAACTTAGATCTGGATGGAAAAAACATGCAGGCAGGTTGTTAAATTGACTGAAGACTAACTAGGTTTGATCCACACTCTTGTATGTTTACTACGTGCCAAGGAACGCAAGTGTTCAGCCATGTTCAGCAAGCTCTCATCAATATTTTGTTTGCAGACAGAAGTGGCCATTGTAGATATGCCAATGCTTACTGCACGATTGCCCAAAGTAGCTGCACTTTGGCTCCAAACTTAAGAAGATCTGTTTGGTCATTTAGATAAATGAAATAGAAATGAGTTTTGTCACGGATTCTGCCGTATTAAACTGAACCAACATATTTCTGTGTAAGCTATTGTTATTTTACAATGGCCACAGCTGTAGGGACTGAACTCTTGCACTCTGTTCAAAAACGAACTGTAAATTTGTAAAAAAATAAATTAAAAAAGCCTACAACCAGAGCATGTATTTATTGTATACAAAGTCACCTAGAATTGTGATCTTTTTCCTGTATGTACTGTGAAATATGAAGAACGATCAACTGTATTTAAAGTAGTTATCATTACTCTAATGTGACATATGTTGAATATACTTATAACAATATTTTGTACATAAAATATTTATGAATCAATGCAGTTGGTCCTGTCCTTTGTTCACTAAAATACAATATGTTCCCATAAGTCTCAGATCTGGATATATCAATCGCTCACCAGTGTATCTTTTTATTAACATAACAGATCAAAAGTAAAAAAGACAGACCCCCAAATGTATTGGCCTACACCTAAAAAACACAAGTATTTGTGCTTCACAAATCTTTTTAAAAGAATAATATAATAATTGTATACCACTAAAGGTTAAAATAAGGGGGGAAATGTTACATCTGGGTCTGGCTAACAAGCTAAATACTACTTTATTGGAAAGGTCTACCTGCAGTTTGTGCAGACCCACTTCTGGGAATAACACTTTTTTTTAACACAGCATCACGTTTTGCTTTAAAATGTGTGTTTCTACAGTAGCTGCAGCCTCATTGGAGATTCCATTTTAAACACGTCCTTTTCTCTGCCTTTGTAATGTTTTAAATTCTACAGGCATTGTCTCCTTTAATGTTATACTTTAATCCAAGTACATTTTTTACACAAATTCTACATGTAAAAATGTTTAAAGTAACATTACTTCAACTTGAGAAAAATCCTTTACCCTTTCCATCCCTGCCTCTACAAAGACTTTGCATAGGACTTGCTGAGTCAGTCATCATTGGAAATGTATCTTAAAGCATATTTTTACGAGCACCTATTCTGAATGTATTTTTTTTTTTTTTTTTTGGTTTTGTTATTTCACTCGAATTTCCTATTTTTTTATTTTTTTTTACGAGGACAAAGTTTACCTCTTTGTTGCTTTTAGTAAATTGGGCTAATTAGCAATACTAATAATAATAATACATTACATTTATAAAGCGCTTTTCCTGGTGCTCAAAGCGCTTACAAGCAAGTAAAACAAAATAACAACAAAAGTAGAAAGTGCTAAGCTAGGAGGAATAAGGGCAAGGGGTTAGTTGATTAGGAGTTGAAGGCAAGAGTGAAAAGGTGAGTTTTGAGGGATTGTTTGAATGATGTGAGTGTTGGCGGATCTGACGTGGCTGGGGAGGGGGTTCCAGAGTGTGGGGGAGGCTGCTGCGAAGGCCCTGTCACCCCAGGTCCGGCGCTTTGTCCTGATGTGCTGCAGTAGGTTAGCTTCAGCAGACCTGAGGCGACGGGTGGGGGTGTGTCGTTGGATGAGGTCACAGAGGTAGGGGGGGGGCAAGGTTGTTGAGGGCTTTGAAAGTGAAAAGTAATATTTTAAAGTCAATGCGGTGTTTGATGGGGAGCCAGTGGAGGTCATGGAGGATAGGGGTGATGTGGAGCGTCGGGTGGAGGTGAGCAAGCGGGCAGCTGAGTTTTGGACATATTGAAGTTTTTTTAGTATGAATGCAGGTGATCCAAAAAGTATGCTGTTGCAGTAATCCAGTCGGGATGTTATAAAGGCATGGATCAGAGTTTCAGCAGGGGTCGATGAGAGGGAGGGTCTAATGCGGGCGATGTTCTTTAAATGGAAGAAAGCGTTTTTTGTGACCTGGTTGACGTGAGGGAGGAAAGTGAGGGTGGGGTCGAGGATGATGCCAAGGTTACGGATGTGAGTGGAGGGGTTGACAATGGAGCCATCGATGGTAAGAGAAAAATCTTGGGTTGAGCGGGTAAGTGAGTTTGTTCCGATTTGTCACAGTTAAGTTTTAGAAAATTGTTTTGCATCCAAATTTTAATGTCAGTGAGGCAGGTGCTGAGCTGGGAGTGTGTGGTTGGAGAAATTGATTTTGTTGAGAAGTAGAGCTGTGTGTCATCAGCATAACAGTGGAACTGGAGTTGGTGTTGACGGAGGATTTGTCCAATTGGGAGGATGTAGATGATGAACAGAAGGGGACCAAGTACAGAACCCTGAGGGACGATTGACGGGGGCTGTGGGGGATTTGGAGTTGTTAATGGAGATGAATTGATGTCTGTCAGAGAGATAGGATTTAAACCAGGAGAGGGCAGTACCGGTAAGGCCAATGGAAGACTGGAGGCGGTTGATGAGGATGGAATGGTTGATCGTGTCAAATGCGGCTGTTAGGTCAAGGAGAATGAGAATTGAGAGGGAACCAGAGAGTCAGCAGAGAGGAGAATGTCGTTGGTCACCTTGAGTAGGGCAGATTCTGTGCTGTGGCGAGTACGGAAACCAGATTGAAAAGGTTCATGAAGGTTATTGCAGTCCAGATGGGATTTTAGTTGGGAGGCAACAGTTCGCTCCAGAATTTTGGACAGGAATGGGAGGTTAGAGATGGGCCGGTAGTTATTGAGAGAATCAGGGTTGAGGTTTTTTGAGTATGGGAGTGACAGCAGCGAGTCTCAGAGTAGGGGGGGACGAGTCCAGTGGACAGAAAGGAGTTAATGACTGTGGTGATAAGATGAGTGAGTTGGGGGAGGCAGGCCTTGACAAGGGTGGAGGGCATGGGGTCCAGGATGGAAGTTGAGGTATTCATGCCGGTGACTTGGGCAACTATGTCCAGTGAGGTAATTTGTCTGAAGGCTGTAAAAGGGTGCCTGGAAGGGGGAGGGTAGGCAGGTTCCGGAAAAGGATGGGTGGTGGACGAGACGGAGGAGTTGGCTATGTTGCTGTGTATTATTTCAATTTTGCTTTGGAGGAATGAGAGGAAGGATTCACACTTTGAGGTGGTGAAGGAGTTGGAGATCTTATCCATGGGGTTGAGGAGCTTGTTAATAGTTGAGAAAAGGGACTTTGGGTTATTGCTGCCAGATTGTATTACAGAGGAGTAGTGGAAGGAGCGTGCACTGTTGAGGGCATCTTTGTACTGCTGTTGGTGCAGTCTATAAATGTATTTGTGGATAGTGAGACCAGTTCGTTTAGCATGTCTTTCGGGGCTGGCGACCTTTAGTTTTAAGGCAACGGAGATGATCGGTGTACCAGGGGGCCGAGTGAGTGAAAGAGACATACTAGGTTTTTATTGGAGCGAGTTGGTTGAGACAGGAGGAGAGAGCATTGAATAAGTGGAAAACCTGTGTGGAGGCGGGCCTCAGCCACTTGCTAAACTAAGGGGTTTGAACATTGTCAACACTGGTTAGAGAGCTCCCTCTTGTGTTCAAATCACAGACAGCATTAAAGTTCAAAGTCAACTTTAATGTAATCTTACTCGGTTTGTGTTTACAGACAGAGAGATCGAAATGACGTTTCCAACAATCCCGAATATAAAATTATACAATATACAGATATGTATAAAAATATGTATAACATATGTATATCCTTCACAATCAACAGACACATTTACACATATTAAGATAAAAGCACACATTAAGATATTGGTTGGCTATACAATAAAGTTTGTGGTTAAATAATGAATCAACACAAGGTGGGGGAGCTTAAGAGCTGAGAGGAGACTGAATTATTAGACATTTCCTCTGTTTGCTAACTCGCTAGCTAGGCTATATTGTGAACACCTTTTGCAGGCATGGGTGTAGCCTACCTGCTGCTTTGATTTTCTCCCTAGCTATTGTATGACGTTGATTGTCATATTAGTACTACTCCAAATGAGAAACGGGGGCTTTCTTCATGTTATTTCATTCCAAAACATTTTTTTTATATTTGTGTGTCACCTACATCCAGACACCTAAACCGCTAGTCTTACTGCCGCCCATTGTAATTGTTTTCTTCACTGTCACATACCCTTTTAAATAATACAGTGATGTGTTTTAATGGTTGTTTCAAGGAGTCTTTCATGAAGAAAAAAACATTCAGCAGAGATGTTAAGTGTAGTAACACATTTATTTACTTCTCCTACAATTGTTTTTATAGTATCTTCATCATGTGAAAATATTCAACAGTTTGGACAGTACAGACATAACAGAGAGCATATTTTCTTTATGTTTAAAAGTCGCCCGAGAATTGTACAAAATGTAAAGGAAAATAATGTGAACATCTGTTATTCTGCCACAATCAGTAATTGTCAAGAGACGGTAAAATATTTCATTAAATTCACTGCAGACAAGTTCCTATGAATATTGTGTGTATCTGATTAATCATATACTGTACAGTGTGTATATATAGACTTTAATATTTTTGCTATTATATTAAAGAAAAAAAAAGAAATTCTGTAAATTAAATTAGGAATGAAGAAATAAATATTTAAAGTAATGTTGCAACCATGAACGTGCATTGATTATATGTCAAGGGAATGCAATTGAATGTAAACAGCTTTCAAGATTAATACAACTTAATTGAATTATGTGTAATTAGGTCTTAAATACATTTTCAGTGCAACTTTAATTTGACAATATTTCTAAGCAAACATTAAGGCAAAAAGCGGTAGGCTATATAAAAGGTATATTCATTTCTAGATTTCTTTTTTTTCTTTCAGTCATAAAACAAACAACATATTCATATTCTTGCAACAACAAATATTGATATAGTAGACTGGAATGCCTTTACTGTTAATGGCTGTAATGGAAAATAACTATTTATGCCACAAACCATGTACAGAAAATTGATTTTGTGCATAGAATTAAATATTATTTCTCTATGGTGACTTGATTCACTTGGTGTCCTTTAATAAAACTATGAACGGTCAACACATAAGAGGATCTTTGTAGATTTAGCATTGCACTCCAACAACATTGACAAATATATAGTATTTTTGAATGCCAACTATTCTTCTTCCTTCTCAAAACCAGTCGCCATCTTGACTAGATTCTGTTATGCTAGTAGCAGCTAAAATAGGTCGCTATAGCCTACAGTGACCAACAGATGCAAACGCGCTGCAACAGCCTATAACACTTCCATAAGGAGAAATGGGCTGCACTTTAACAAGTGATGCTTCGGTCCCAGCTGTGTGCATCACTTTGTAGTGTCCTTGTTTCTCTTGTGATTTCAGCTTCTAGCAGCCTTTTGGATGTGCAGCGTTTCTTTTATGCAGCTGTGTGTGTTTCATCAAGTTGGTGAAGATGTTCCTTCATTTGCAATCATTTTGGCCCAATTGTATTTTTTTATATTTGCAATATTTTTTTAACTGCAGCACATTTCTCCTTATGGAAATTCCTCCTAATT